ACTGAGTGGTATCCGCATAATAGGCAAACATAAAATAGAGGGTGTCCAAAGGTATTTCACAGCCAGATTGTTGGGGCACGATCACAAATAGGACTACAGCTCAAGATGCAGAACACTAAGTCTAGAAACACTGGACGAGACGACTCAAAACTAACCTGACACTATTCTTTAATGTGTTACATAAACACACGTTTACAGCCAGTGATGAGTTTCAGTTCGAACACAACAGTTGTTACGATCTGTGCAACCACTCCCATAGCGTCAAAATGAGATCGTACAAGTCCTACTTGCGCGCGAACTTATTTGCCGTCAAATTCTCTCAGCCGTGGAACAGACTTCCAGCTGAAATGAAGGCCTCCTAATCAACCTCTGAATTTGGTCGGTTACTGGCTGACTTCTAATCATCTGGTGATTTTTACGGCTTATCAAAAACACCCACAGTCTTTTTCACGACACTTCGTATACTCGACTCTCTTAATGTATAGTGAGAGCCACCACACCTACGCTGACCTTTCATAAGAAGCGTTGAGGAGACTTCCACAAGTTACCACCTCAAACTAATGGCACATTCTGCCCCACCCAACGCGATAATCAAATACAGAAATCTTACACCACATGACAGCTTGAAATTTATATTTTTAAATACTCCATAGAAAAAAGGATATGCAATGAAAGCCATAGCAAGGGAAGTTAAGTGGGGAGAAACATGAACATAGAAAACACACTCTCCTTGTTGAAATTCTTGCTTTCTCCACCTGCTGCTTTGTCTGTTTTTTTTTTCGTTGCAGAAAAACAATTCAGTTCCAAACGTTGGCTTTGTTGCCATCGATAATTGATTACTTAAAGAACAGACTGTAGCTAAAACTACCCTTCTTGGAGGGTAACCAGTTTTACCAAGTTCAGAATACCTAACTACAACAAGCAGAAATAGAAAATGTTCACTGGACTACAACTTCATAATTATCAAAATCCAGGATTTACTCATTATAAAAGTGACCAGCGAAGTCCAACACTTACCAACTGTAAGGCTGTCACGACCCGTGAAAACGAAGGACAAGATATTCTGGAAGTCCATCTGGCGCATTGAGGCAAGTCTATTGCTTCTGGATGCTGGAGTTGGAGAAGTGAAGATATTTGGCTTTCAGTCATGATATTCATCAAGATTATGAATCCTTGTTGTGGAATGGTATTAACACGGACGTATTATGCAGTCCTGGAATTGTCAAAGAAGTACAATATGTAAACAATTCATAAACTTTTCTTCATTATCTCAAGCAAAAGGTACAAACTGTTGCAATGAAAGTATTAACTTCAAGCCTTATTTTTCTCCAGGTAATACATGTAGTTTCTGGATACAAACCTGGTTTTTTTGTTAATGCGAAGACAATAATCCCACTTGTCCAACTCGTAAATTTTCTGCACACTTATTCTGTTGGGGTATGCATAAGCACTTATATCTTCTAGTGAAAACAGGTAGGGATTCAGATTACCTTTCATGAAGATGAATGTAATTTGTATATAAACTTATTCATACCTGTAAAAACGGTGCGTGCCTGTATATTCAGGAATAAATATTATTATAACTTACTTTCGCTTACGTGCGTAGACAGAAGCTACTGATTTCATGAGCAACTCCATAGCGCCCCAAAAAAGCCAGCCTAGAAATCATAGCAACCAAAACTTTGCCGAAAAAATCGCGGCGTCCGAAAATACACACAGAAAGTACGAAAAATCCTCAACGACTACCGGTACACAGCCAAACCGTAAAAGAAGCCTTCAGATATAAGCGAATGTTCCGCTCCGTTATCGACTGATCGAGGCCATCTGAGAGTTCAAAATGCAGGCGGCCCATACTAGCAGTGGTAACAGTGAGTGTTTTGAGGATGATAGAGGTTGACACAAATAATTGCTGCGTATCACAATTTCTCATCCAAATTTGACCACACCTGATCACTGTCCAGCAGAAAGTTATTCGAAAATACGTATTCGTCACAATAGCCAAGAATATCAGAGTAACCTACCGGTTTATGCTTCGACGAAAGCCGATAAATAAAGGTTTAAACCTCATCACAAAACGCAACGGAGTACCCTGGAAATGCAGTGAGATAGCGGGACTGTTGAGCAGCCGGGTTAACGAGCAGCTCAACACAGTGACGCATTCGCCACCAACACCCGGTAACATAACGAAGTCTGACGACTGATATGAAACTGATGAACGCAAAGATTTCGTCAAGCCAAGTGTTCGCGAAACTGCAACACTCAGAAGCGGGAGGTCTCCGAGCTGTGACGAAATAGGGCCAGTGGTCCAACGGAATTGCGCCGAAGTGGTAAGCACATCCATATACAATCTGTTCACGCAGTCGTTGGAAGCGGGAAGTCGACCTCCTAAGGAATGGCGGTGTGCTATCCCCACACCAGTCTTCCAGGGAGGGGGTCGACAAAATCTATGCAATTACAGATCGATAACGTCACTTCTCATAGCATCCAAGGTACTGAAAAGTCTGCTCGCAGATATTGTCTGAAGCTACCTAAACGGAAGCAGTGTCGCTCATCCCGCCCAACACGGCTTCAGAACCGGAAGGTCATGTGACACAAGCGTGATGACCATTTTAGATGAATGGGACGCTAGGTAGAACAACAAGCAACCAGCCCACGTTATCTCTCTAGACTCATCCCAGACTTTCAAAAGCGTCCTACACCACACTATGCTTGCCAAACTTGCGAAAGTGAATATGAATGAACTAAATCAGCATGGTGTACAGCATACCTTGGGGGCAGAGAATTCCGTATCAAAGTAAGCAGAACAAGTTTGGTCTGGAGGAGTGCCAGAACAGGAGTTTCTCAAGGAGCGATCCGTGGGCCACTCCTACCTTTATCACTCAAATCTCCTCGTCTATCCTCCTATTTGCGGACGATGTCAAAATATGGAAGAAGGCAGGTGACAAAGTGGATCCTGAGACACTTCAAGATGGTCTGCTGAAGATCAGGTGCTGATCAGATGTGAGTGTTTTGAGCTTAAACGTGGAGAAGTGTAAATCGGTGCAACTTCGCATACCGGGAGCGATGAAAACCGACCACACGCTCAGCCGCTGTACAATCATCAGGGCATCCGCAGAGAAGGATCTAGGACCGAACTTTTCTGACAAACTGAATAGCAGTGCTAACTGTAAGGCAATGGCGGCAAAGGCTAACGCCACCGCGCACACTCCAAGAGGGCAGTTTGGAGCACTTACACCAGAATTATTCCTCACGGTATTTAGAATCTATGTTGGGCCACACCTAAGGTAGCCCCTCCTCCACTGAGGGTGGATGCGAGCACTCTCGAGAAGGTGCAAAGAGCTGCAACAAGGTTGGTTGTCGAACTGATGGGTAAAAACTATGTACTATGTCCTAGAAAACTAAACTTCTTCGCTTTGGACTATCCGAGGAAAAGAGGGGACCTAGTAGCCCCATACAAGATTGGCCACTGCGTAGAACATCCTAGCAGAGCGAGACTCATGGTCCTGGAACGACACTCTCTCAGGCAGCTCACTCGCATATCTCACTGGGGTAGAAATATTAAGTGGGATCCTGCCTCTTCTCAAACACACTACGTACGTTACTCAATGCCCAGCCGAAATTTTTATCTTTCGCCACATCTATTCACTTCTTCAATGGACTGCTTGAAACGCCTTTGAGCCCATAGAGCCCACCACGATCATATCCTGGTACCAGCTGAAGGTTCTCGCACTAATCTACGTATCCGCCAAGCATATTTTCCTCAGCGAGACCCATGAGATCTCCACGTTACTCCTGGTGAACCCATTTTTCACTCGCATGCCTTCCACCTCTCTTTGTTTATCTCATACAAGCCCTATTTCCCGCAACGACTTTAAGATGATGCTTAGTAACCACCCACAGATGCCTAAAAAATCAGTAATTGTAAAACGCTAGCTGGTCAAATTAGCAGTCTCGTTACTCCACTGAGCAAAGACATCTACATTTGGAGGAAGTTATCTCTTTCAGATCATAAGCGCAACTATCCTTTTATAGGTCCCATGATATGACGAACACATAAATTTGATGTGTACCATAGGTCCAATATCTGCTGCCCCCCTCCCAACACTCAAGAGAGACCCTAACCTCCTTGAAAAAATACAAAGAACCTCAACAAAATCAATTGTAGGGCTAACAGGGAGAGCATATCCTGAAAGACTTAAACGACTAAACTTACTTACCTTAGGTCACCGTAGGAAGAGGGATGACCTTACTATGGCATACAAGGTCACCCACCAGGCAGGCCAAGCAAACAAATCACTTTTGCCTGAGACTCAGAGGTCTTCACGAGGAAACCCAGTTAAGCTAGCACACAAGAGAGCCAACATCATACTCAGGTCTAATTTTTTCTCCCTAACAGTATGTGCTTTATGGAATGCATTGCCGCGACATACCGTTATAGCTCCCTCAGTCGACTCATTCGATAGACGGTCAGACAGTTGTGTCATCTTGCATCGTCTACCACGGACGTGCTGAGGTAGTCACCAACCTCACCAGCCTCCAACTCCCTCCTACCCACCGCTCACTATCTCTCTCCGTACTACTCCCACAATACCTACTAATTCTTGCATAGGAACTAAACCCGCGCTACCATTAGGGCAATTTCCACGTACCTTTCTCTCTCTTTTATTTCCCTTCTTCACTCCTCCTTTTCTTCTCCTTTTCCTTTCTATCTTTTACTTTTTCTCCTCCCTCATTTCTCCTTTTTCTCCCGCATTATTTTCATTTTTTTACAACTACCTTACCATTCTCTTTCAGGTACCTACACAGACAGGAGTCACGGCAGTCCCATAAACGTCCTAGCAACATGTAGCTCCCCCAATCACTCTGCACATTACAACTTACTATCCCACAAAACATCCACCTTTTCCACTGCAGGAGTGGACCGAACAACTTGAACCAAGCCGTAGGAACTAGACGTGTGAGATTAAAAACTACCAGTTTTCTACGCTCGCACCATCAATATTGGATATTGGAAACACCCGCCAAGTTTGATTAAAACCAAACCATCGGTTTTCTATTCTAACGTCGAAAAGTGACTGTATATACTGCGTGGTAGTGAACTAAATATTTGAAACTGTCGCACAAGACATAGAAGCGAGTGCAGAGGGAGTAACTTTTGTAGCCTGAGCGTTGAGGATTAGCTAAGGCTTTTGGTTTACAAAAATGGCAATTGAGATAGAATCAGCTGAGTAGGTATATTGTTAAATCTACTTATTTCCTTCAGCGTTGTTCGACTGATTGAGCAATATCTGAAAGAAAGTAATCTGACGAAGTCTCTCCAAACCTTGCAGGTTAGTTGATTTGGTTAGTCTTCCTTTCTTGAATGCCTGTCTTCTTTCTTGTTACGACCGTAGTTGTAACTGTTTATTGTGCTAAGCAAAACCTTCATATGGGATGTGAGGCTTTTCGTCTTTTTGGTGTTCGTAGTATCCACTGCAAGCCTACTGGATGTATTCTAGGAAACATTTTTTGCCATTAGTTTGGTAATGTCAGGCGTACAATTCATACGTAAGAATTGGTCAGATATAGGAAAGTCTCGAGTTGATAATAGTTAGAAAAATAAGGAAATAACAACGATTTTTTTATGTTTGTTCCTGTGGCTCGTCGTACAATCTCTCTTACTTTCTCCTCTTCCCCTTGATCTTACACTGATCAAGTTTTACTTACCACATCTCTCATGAATCCACCTACGTTTCTCCTTCCGTTCGACTTCCTTTCACCTCATCGATTTTGTTTCTCTTTCACACTTCCTCTCTCTTGACTTCATTGGACATCTTACCTATCTTTTTACAAACAGTCTGACCAATTGTCTGGTGGAGACTCTTGGGGATATGGCTCAGAACCGATGTCATTGGCGCAGATCTATCCCCACACACATTATCCTCATCTTAACGACGCTATACCGAATCTCACCACTTTCTCATCCTCCGTTTCTCTCTTTTCTTACTTTATATTTCTTTTGACTGCATTCTCTTATCTTCATCTTTCACCTCACTGCCTTTTTACTTGATGTACTGATATGAGGTGTGGTAACTTGGACCGTTACGCAGTAATGTCTGATCCTATGTTGATATTGATTGATTGATTGATTGGTGGCACGACACTTAAGTAACCCATGTGCACCACAGTCCTTGAAAAAACCGCATACTCCATACAAATTTAATACCCAACTGTCCGTCGGGTTAACCAGGCGAGTAGATAGACGTATATGGGAACCCGCTAAAGACCTAAGACCCTTCCTCAAGACCCAGAAGCGACCGGGAAGAAATCATTTGGTTTGCACTAACTGAAAAGGGTATTCGCATGCGGTAATCCGCCATTGGTGTCAAATTATTTCTTTACTCATTTATTTCTATCTCTTCTACTCTATTTCTCCATGGCACCCACAATGTTCCCCAGTAGTTAGCATTACTTCACTACCCATCTGCTATTTCGCTTAATGTCGTATATGATGGAATTATGGATTGTCCTTTGGTAAAGTAAACAATATAAAAGCCTTTTCTTGGTCATCTTTACTACTTTTACGTCATGAACAGTAAAGTACTGATAAATGAACACTATATTGTCTGTAACTTATGTTGACTTTCTTATAAGCTTTCTCTTTTGTTAAGCTTACCATGTAAGTCGTGTAGACAAGTTATTACAGTATTCAGCCTTTTTTACACTTCTTTTTGAGTAGTAAATGCTTGTGCAAATCCACTAACATCCACAGCTGGAGTGAAATAATTGGGGAATTACAACTTACTCCTCTAGTCTTGTAGAAGGCTGACTTATTAAGTACTACTTTTGCTATCATTCAGAGGAGTGTAACTAGTGATTTCTAGTAGAATAGTAATCGTCGTAAACCGCGGCATTGACTTATAGTCTTCTAGCAAGTTGCTTACCATTTGTGCGGTCTATATCATGTTAATAGTGGTAAATAACTTGAGGATGTACCGTGGATTTATCTTTCAGCGAAGATAGGTGTACACATCTTCAAATGGTGGAAACTGTAGGGGTTTGTCATCGAAAGACCTCATAGTGCTGTTACTTCTGTCTTTTCGTATGCCTTTCAGATTTAACGCCGTGTATTGTCTCATAAACGTTTACGGCTAGGTGAATATCTGAAAGCCTGTTGATTGTGACAATAATTTCAGTTCCACTTTCGAGCTCCTACGGCAATAAACATTCAAACATGAACATACTGTCACTGTCGGTTGCCGATGAAAATGTGTTTACTGACTGAGTAAAACTGAAGACTTTCTCCAATAAGGTCTGTTTTAGTAACGGGTTACTAAACATCCTACACTTTGAATCTAGCAAAATAACAGGAGAAAACTTAACGTTTTTAAATCTTGTTTGCAGTTGACGTCACTCACGATAGTACAAGGTATTTGGTTAGTTGTTCATATTTTACGCGTTCTAGATGTGTCGCCCAGATTCCATGTTTTGGTTGGGCTAGGTAAGCGTGGTCGTTGTTTATAGATGCTTATACGACCACTTATTCCTATTATGTACCAAGAACCTCCTATTTACTGCATTCACGTTTATCAAACAAGTGACAGTGTGAAAGCTTATATGTATCGCCTGTTATTGAAGCAGCAGACATAGGGAGTCCATCGGGTAGTTAGCAAACCCTGGTTCCAAACTGGCGTTCTAGCCTACTTTGGTCACAAATAGCTATAGGAAAGCATCACCTGGCGTTGCTCCGCTCTCTTATCGAGTATTCCTAAAACCAAAGACTAGGGGAGTAATTTTTTGAAGTGATCATATGTTTCGGTATCCTGGCAGTGTCATGGACTTTATGTACACCAAATCTTATGTGGTAAAAGCCACGTCTTAATGCCATAAGTATATGTAAGGCACATTGTGCTTTTCAGGAAGTGATATATCGTTTTCTGATTCAGCGAGAATTAACCAACCCTGCCCACCACAATTAGGCTACTTAGGTTTAATAAGACAAGTGGACAACTCTTAGATTGCCAGTGTTTAGTGAATTCATGTCTGTAAACAATCATTTTTCAAATTTCATTGTAGTTGTGTGACTGTTGGGGTTACATCAGCTGAAGATATATCACCTAGAGATAGTTACTGAATATGCACCACTAGATGACCTAGGGGTGTCATGGTATGCTGCGCTCCCCTTCCACTGGTTTCTTATTTTGCAATAATTACAAAGATGCATTTGCATAATGGTAAGACACGATCAATTTAAGTAGGCTACGAGTCGTTGATGAAGGGTTGAGTAATAGTACTCATGAAACTAAGAGAAATTTCCTGCAAATAAGACCACCCACTATCTGTAATAACCTCCACCCTTGTTACGTCAACCTCATGCATGAGGCACTCCAGCGGAAAACTGAAGCTACATAGACATTCATAGGTAAATATCTAACAACTCATAGTCCAATGCAGGAAGCACCCCCCTGACTATTCAGAATATATAGAGAATATAAACAGCTAATTCATCAACTGAATCCTTGTACAACCATTAATATCCTTTATGAGCTAAGTAAGAAAGTTGTACAGGTTAGAAGCATGCAGAGAGCGGGTTATTTGTTCAACACAATCCCCTTTTGTGGCTTACTATGATAGTGAGTTACTATGTACTAGTGAAAGTCGCTATCTCATACAGAAGATTTAAAAATTTCCATCGTTCCTATCTAGTACGTTCACTGCTGACATACACGTTGGTATAGTAACAGATTTGATGATTTACATACTTACAAATGTCATTTTCTGAACTTTTTCTTTTAACTCAACTTTAAATCATAATCTTGCTTGATCTGTTTTAGGAAGAGACTGGAATCTCCCTTAATACAGTTGATTCCGTTGAAGGATTTATGACTGAGATTACTAGTGGTCATTGGGATACTGTATTACAAGTTGTGCAAAATTTGAAGCTGCCTGATCACAAGCTGATGGATCTCTACGAACAGGTATACTTACATCTTTTAAACTGTTATCCATTCTGTGCAGATTGTTATAGAGCTAGTTGAATTGCGTGAATTAGGAGCTGCTCGAACATTGTTACGTCAAACTGATCCAATGATAGCCTTGAAACAAGCATATCCTGAAAGACATGCTCACTTGGAGAACCTTTTAGCACGATCGTATTTTGATCCACGTGAAGTAAGTTAACTGATTGTTTTGGATTTTTTTTCTTCTAAAAGGCTTATTTAGAAGGTCAATCAAAAGAGAAACGTCGGCAAGCTATAGCAGCTTCACTTTCTGGAGAAGTCAATGTTGTTGCACCATCACGTCTACGCGCACTTTTAAGTCAAGCATTAAAATGGCAACAACACCAAGGTCTACTTCCGCCTGGCACTGCTATTGATGTTTTCCGTGGTAAAGCAGCTTTGAAGGAATTAGAAGAAGAAAAGCCACCTACTACACTGTCTGTAACTATCCGAGTAAGTTTGAACATTCTTTTGGTTTATTCTCTTAGTATGTTTGAAAAATATGGGCTCATACAGGCTAATGTGTTGCATCATAATAATTTAAAACAAACACATTTCATTCCATTGACAACTTTTGCTCTAGGACTGATTTGTAGACATACTTCCAGTTTAATGAAAGGCAATGAAGTGGTAGAATGTGTCGACCATTCGACTTACTTGGGAAGTTACGTCAGCCTACCGGATGGGTTGATTGTTGATGAAATCTTAGCTAGGACATAGAAGGGACGTTTGCCACTTGACGACTTACGTCATTTGTAGCACCGAATGGCGAGATATCAGATTCCATCTGTTCTCTCCTGTTGTACGGTGGTGAAACATGGCCATCAAAAGTAGAAGACATGAAATGGTTACAGGGTTTTGATCATAGGTGTCTTTATAGCATTGGTCACGTTTAGTGAAATCGCTGTGTGGGCAGTGTTGAGATCATGCAAAGGGTATAAGACAGGACAGACAAATCGACTGATGAGGTTGCAAAGCTTCATCGGCTAAGATGGCTTAAACATGAATTTCACCTACCGAGCTTCGTCTACTTCAACCTGCCATGGTAGGAGAATTTGGATTAAGTTGAAAAAGGATTCAGAGTGGCCACATCAAGACCTAGAACCAGTCGATGAAGTCTCTCACTGTCAGTGTGAGCCATGCGGGGAAATGTAGTCTACTTGGTTAGGGTCTCCAAGACGGTAGGAACCGACTGAAGATCAGTCGGTCAAAATTGCACAGATGCACTCACTCCTTGACATCTTCTAAGGCTTGAGAATTCGCAGTAACCTTCATCTTCAGATTGTTTGTTCTCTTACACAACTTTGTCTACTTTCATATGAGTCTTTTTCTATCCACATGTTCTTTGTGTGTACTTCTATGAAGTGTGACAACTTGAGTTGACGCTGCTGTCTACGAGGTTCTACGTTAATCTTGTCAATCATTTATTGACAATGTTGAACAAAATAAGAATGAACGAATTCGCAGAATAAAATGGTGTCATTTTATTCCATATTTTGTTTGTGCTTTGAAGTTTCTTTAGCGGTTGGATTAGTTTTATGGGGTAGGGTTGCTAGCCCTACCCCCAACCTTCCCTCTTTACCTGGGCTTAGGACCGGCTAGTAACTAGTGAACTAGTTAACCATCCTCATAGAACAGAGTATAGAATTGGAGTCTACTCTCTACCTCAACTTCATCGACCTGGAGAAGGGCTTTGACAGCGTCGACCGACAAGTAATTTGGCAAGTGGTTGCTTCAACACTACGGTTTTAGTGCCACAAATCTTTATCAACCTCATTCAACAGCTAAGCTATATGAAGACGCCATATACCAAGTAATTCACAATCGGAAGCTCAGTGATGCTTTTGAAGTGAAGACAGGAAGGAGTAAGACAAGGCTGTCTACTATCACCCATGATATTCTTGATTGTAGTGGACTGGATCATGCAATAAATAACTGTGGGGAGCGAGGAGAGGGGGGTACACTGGACCGTGGAAAAGAACCTAGAAGATTTGGATTTCTCCGATGACTTATGTCTAATATCATACAAACTTGAAGATCTATAGGCGAGAACTGACGAGTTGACAGAAGAGGCAGGGGGGGGCGAAGACGGGACTTCAAGTGAATAAAGAGAAGACGGAGGTGATGAAGATACCCAACCATCAACAACAACAATCACCATCAACGGGAGAAACTTAGAGGAATTAACCTCTTTCACCTATCTAGGCAGCACTGTTTCAACTGCAGGCGGTACAGACGAGGATGTCAAAACCAGCCAGGATCGGAAAGACAGCAAGACAGACGTTCATTAGCCTGAAACCAGTGTGGAGATGGACTGCACTCAGCATGTGGAACAAGATGCGGATTTTCAACACCAATTTAGTCAAGTCAGTGCTTCTATGTGATGGTTGAGAGACTTGGCACGTTACGAAAGGGATTTCCAACAAACTACAGACATTCATCAACAACTGCCTACGCCGGTTACTGAAGCTCAACTCAGATGGCCAGAAATAATAAGCAACAGGGAATTCTGACTGGTGACGAACCTGTCACTCAACATATGTGCAGAAGGAAGTGGAGATGGATTGAATCGGGCATGCACTGAGAAGACCATTCGGAGACATCACGTGGCAGGCCAGGTACTAGAGTGGGAGCCAGTTGGGAAGTTTTGAGTTGAGCGTCCTAGGTGAGGGTGACATGGAGGAGATCTGGCGAGGAGGAAATGAGAGGTTGTGGGCTGTGATGGAGTAAGGTTCAATGGATTTCACAGAACGGCGCACTGAGGACGTGTCACTGAGGCCCCTATTTTCCTCTGGTAACCCAAGTGACAAATAATAATAATTTTATTTTATAAGATATTTATCAACTTTACACTCCACGGAATCATTTGAATTTTACAAGTAAGTAGCCTATTGAAAGTGTTTTGAAATTTGATGATGACAGTAAGAAGGTGAATGAAAGAGATAGAAAAAGGCAGCAAGTACATATCGTAGTTAAGATCACTTGTAATTTATATATGATCCGATAAATGATTCATGTTGTGCCACTTTAGTTGTAAATTGAATGAATGCAGTTCAAAATATTACTCAGTATCGGTACAAGTTTGCCAAATCACGCCCATCTCACTCAGATAGTCAAAATGATAACCAGTATAATGCTACCCCTCCCAATCTAATTTAGTTAGGTTTGGATTGGGATGACAAGTCCTGACTAGGTAGCCAGTGTGAATACGATCAAGCGATGGTAACACATCACGAATTCACATAGTAGTCGAGCAAAACCGCGCTTGTGATAGAAGTAAAATAAAAATCTGGTCAGCAGTCGAGTCTCGTCGCTCAGTTGGTAAAGCAGCAGGCTGGAAACTCGCTTATACCTGGTTCGGTGGAGAATTCTAGTTGGACCTAGAATACGCAGATGACATAGTTCTGTTAGGTGAAGACGCTGACAAGATGCAGAATCTTATGAACACTGAGTAGCAATCTGAGAATGCTTGTGATGCGTTTTTCACCACCGAAATGCAAATTGTTGCTCAACGAATTGGTCTTCAACGGTGCCACGGTTAACAATAGAGAGTGTAATGGTTGAGTGTGTTGACCACTGATGGCTCGGTGGCTGATGAAATATCTGCATGGAGACAAAAGGCTCGATTGGCTTTCGCCAACTTACGCCACCTGTCGCGCTGCCGTGATATCCGATTGTCTACTAAAGGTCGCGTATACCACACAGCGGTCCGGTCTGTTCTACTGTATGGCTATGAAACATGGCCATTTAAGGTGGAAGACATAAGAAGGGGGCTTCAGGTGTTGGAACACCGTTGCCTTCGTATAGTATAGGCCGTATTCCGTGGTGTCACCACGTGAGTAACACAGAAGTCAGGAGTAGAGTTTTAGAGAGAAGAGGTAAGTCGGTTGACGAGGTTGTGAACCTTCATCGAGTGAGATGGCTGGTTGGACACGTGTTACGTATACCTAATCGCCGATTGCCTCGTCACACAATGTTGGCCGAAGTAGGTCCAGACTGGAAAAAGGTCCAAAGTGACCAGACTAAAACATAGCACCAATGTATGAAGTCTCTGACTGTTGGTTTGAGCCATGTGGGACGATGCAAACTAGGTGATTGGGGTCCACGGGACAAGAGGAATCAGTGGTTGGAGACTCTAATGGATATGGCTCGGAACCGATGTCAGTGGCGCAGATCTATCCCCACACACATTATCCTCATCTTAACGACGCTATACCGAATCTCACCACTTTCTCATCCTCCGTTTCTCTCTTTTCTTACTTTATATTTCTTTTGACTGCATTCTCTTATCTTCATCTTTCACCTCACTGCCTTTTTACTTGATGTACTGATATGAGGTGTGGCAACTTGGACCGTTACACAGTAATTCCTGGTCCTAGGTTGATCTGGATTGATGATGGATCAGGGTGGTCAGATCAAAACGTGGCTCCAATAGATGAAGTTCCTAACCGTTGGTCTGAGCCACGTGGTGTCCTCGAGACGATAGAAATTAGTGGTTGAGGACTCTTAGTAATATGACTGAAGATCAGTCAGTCACAATGGCACAGATGTATTCAATCCTTGTTATCTTCTAAGGCTTGAATATTCACAGTAACCTTTATCTTCAGATTATTTATTCTCTCAAACTACTTTATCTACGTTGATATGAGTCTTTTCCTATCCACCTGTTCATTGTATACTACTGTGAAGTGTGGTAACTTGAGATGACGTACCTGTGTGCAAGGTTCTACGTTGATTTTGTCAGTCACTTAGTCAGAATAACGAAATAAACTTACTTCATAACTGATGATCATGCATTTTTAAACTGGTAAATACAATGAAATGTGACTTCATCTTTCACCACTTCCAAGGGCTTCCGTAAGTATACAAAACCTTGGAATTTTCGATTATCCTAACTTCAGCTAGCTGCATAATATGTCTTTAGTGAAGGCAGCGTTAAGTCTTACCATAACGCTAGTTGCAACATCAGTGTATGGTAAGCCTTATGAATATAACCCTTTTAGGGAGACAGTAGGTATTTCTTAATGTCCTGTACATTTTATGTCGATTTACAAACTTGGTCGGATAATCATTCTTAATTAGTGTCACCTCGATAATCATTTTGACTATCTGAGATGAAAATTTATTACGGATGGATTCGAACCAGGTATATCCACCTATCCAGATCAACCTAGGACCAGGAATTACTGTGTAACGGTCCAAGTTGCCACACCTCATATCAGTACATCAAGTAAAAAGGCAGTGAGGTGAAAGATGAAGATAAGAGAATGCAGTCAAAAGAAATATAAAGTAAGAAAAGAGAGAAACGGAGGATGAGAAAGTGGTGAGAATTCGGTATAGCGTCGTTAAGATGAGGATAATGTGTGTGGGGATAGATCTGCGCCACTGACATCGGTTCCGAGCCATATCCATTAGAGTCTCCAACCACTGATTCCTCTTGTCCCGTGGACCCCAATCACCTAGTTTGCATCGTCCCACATGGCTCAAACCAACAGTCAGAGACTTCATACATTGGTGCTATGTTTTAGTCTGGTCACTTTGGACCTTTTTCCAGTCTGGACCTACTTCGGCCAACATTGTGTGACGAGGCAATCGGCGATTAGGTATACGTAACACGTGTCCAACCAGCCATCTCACTCGATGAAGGTTCACAACCTCGTCAACCGACTTACCTCTTCTCTCTAAAACTCTACTCCTGACTTCTGTGTTACTCACGTGGTGACACCACGGAATACGTTCTGTACTGCGACCACATGACCACCCTGAATGTTATTCTAACCTAGTTCAATTTCCTTCTGTATACATGCTGAAGTAGGCGGTGTTGGCTTGGCATGCGTTGTAAATGTCCGAGCGATATCAGTCGACTAAGGTTCACCATCTCATCAATCAACATCCCTGTCTTGCTTAGTACCATACACCTGACCTCAACATTACCCGAATTTACATGTAACGGCTAGTCAAGTTAAATAAACATTTGTATGTACATGATTTATTTCAAAAGACAGTTATTTTAACTGAATACATAAAGACTATATAGGTCTACCTGTTTGCAGTGGTTTTCGAATCCAACTTTCTAAGTTCTGCCTGTTAGCCTCCACAATAATAATAATAATAATAACGGTGTAGTGTGAAGTCGTCTACCGACTTCAGCAGCTTCGACATGTGTTACATATGTCGTCCCAACGGCTTCGATTGCATTCATTGTTTACCAAACCCTCTGAGTAGATAGAAGAAGTGAAGGAATGGTCAGTGTATGATATGACGCCGCAGTATAAAGGATAATTGTATCCAGTTAGCATCTGTTAGTGCGTCACAACTCCTCTGCCTTGGGGTCCTATAGATCATGCAACTCAGTGACTTGAGAGGTTATTAGATATAGCTGATGAATCGAAACCAGTGTTGGCCTTGTTGTAGTTTTCTCCTATCTTCTGTAGATGAAACGTGATGAATGTTGTGTGTGGTTCATTTCTTCGTGCCCTTACTCTACCATATTTCTGTTCTAATAATAATAATAATAATAATAATAATAATAATAATAATAATAATAATAAAAGTGTGCCATATGTACCCGTTATAGGTGTATGTATTACGTTATTTGACACACAATTATGACAACTACCCGGTTGTGTTCATATCGAATTAGGCGAGGTAAAATTCTACACCAGAATTGAATACCTAAAAGCTTATAAACTAAGGGGAAAGTTTTTTACTTTAGTTTACCCACACACAACAAATGTATATTATCGATGACTGTATTCCAAGAGAAAATCATTCACAATAGATCATATATTAATTTTGTCACTATGCATAATTTGTGAAAATAGATGATTCTACGCTACTTAAAGTTTATATCGTTTTCTTTTTTTCAAATAATTTTTATAAAACTAGGTTGGTCAGAAATGTCATGTGGAGTGTGCGAAATTTAGCCCAGACGGTCAATTTTTGGTATCTGGATCTTTGGATGGTTTTATTGAAGTATGGAATTTTACTACTGGTAAATTAAGAAAAGATTTAAAATATCAAGCTCAGGTATGTTTATAGTTTCTAAATGATGATGATGATGATGATGAGAATATGGCTTAATTTATACAGGTGTCTACGTAGCGTTCATCACGTGAGTAATGTTGTAGTCAGGAGAAGGGTACTGGGGAAGATAGGCAAGTCAGTGGGTTGGTGAGTTTCTGGGTCTTCACAGTGACTTCGATAGCTTGGAGGTGAGTTGTATATGCCGAGCTGTCGCCTACTTCGACACGGAATGCTAGCAAAGGTTGAATTCCGACTAACCTATCAGAGGATAAGTATTAACCACATTAACCCTCGCTCTTTGCCTTCTCTTCTACACAAAGATCCTAATACAGGCTTGCAGTGCAGCATCAAGCTCGATACAGGACAGCTTTCCTAGTAATTTTATATAAGACTTTATCGATTGGGATCTATTGGCAGCTTGAAATCTCTGACTGAAACCCATTTCTTTCTCGCCTCGTCCAGCACAAAAACCGTGTTACTGTCATGTCGACATAGTTAAGTACTTTAACACGAATTATTTTTTTCGAAAACCTTAGTAACTATGCTAGTTAGACTCATAGGACGATAGCAAGCCACCAACTGACGATTACCGACCTTAAAAACGTCACTGATTATGTGGGACATATTGACAAGATCTGTGACTAGCTCAGCAATAATCTCCTCTAACAAAGATAGCAGTCTGAGGTGGAATTCATTGGGATCCGGGGATTTTTCAGGTTTAAGATGAATCAGCAACTGGGAGACTATCTCCTTTGTCATGAACACTTTATCCACTCGTGTGGCAGTATTGATGCCACTATTGAGCACTCCATTATCATGATATATTCACAGAAAACTTCACTGAAGTAATCCAATAGAGATTAGGCATCTGTTGCTTCCACTCCAGTTACGTATGTGTGTTAGCACGAAGCGATTTGCAAGGCAACATGGATTACGGTCAATTACCCCAATAGTACAGAAACCTTATTTTGACTTCACCTCACAACTGATCACTTTGCAGGTACCACTATCGTCATGCGCTTCGGAAGGAACTCATCGTATATTGACGTTATCTCGGACATAGAGTAGAGATTAGTATGCCGCCACCCCATCTGTCCCTATACAATAGTACCCTGTAAGGAGTGGCGTAAAATCGAAATCCTTTATTAGCCAGGTTTTTAGTAAGGCCTACTACATCAGCACTTACTTCACACATTAGTCTCCACGGTTGTAATTCTACTCCGAATATAGCGAACTGTGCGTGAACAATTCCATGACCCACACACATACAGGCCTTGGAAGCACTCGTTTCGAACACCTCATAACCCGAAAACTCACAACTTGAAGGTTGTTTTCTCTTATCTGCTTAAATCATATAAACATAATGCAAGGTAGTTTAGAAAGTTTTAACTAAGATTTCTCGTCAAAATGAAACATGAAAAGAGTAATAAAATTCAGTATCTTTTTACGAGCTGGCGTAAACCGGTTGATTTCTTCGCGCACCTTTCTAGGTCTTGCGGAACGGTTCCAGGTCTTTGGTGGATTCCGATGCAGTAGGTGTACCCACTCATCTAGAAAGTGTGTGGTTCCTCAAGTGTCGTACCAGCAGACAATCGGTCCAACTGGTTGTAAATAGAAGATAGAAAATATATCCATAGAAATCAAATGAGAGGAAGTACGAAGAAAAAGAAGCAAAACGGAGAAAAGCGATTAAGTGAAAGGAAACGGAACGGAAGAAGAAACCTCTGTAAATTCATGGGAGAAGAGTGGTAGGGAGAGGTTTTATTAAATTGTGTGAGAACATGAAGTCAGAAGGAAGAAAATGAGCAAATAACATTATAGAACGGCTTATGGGAATAGAGATAGTAACTGGAGGAGATATCTACAGGGAAGTATAAGGTTGAGACAAGTTCGTTATGATAGTGGCGTTAAAAAAAGATTCAGTAATAGGTTGACCGTCCATATCTTAGCTAGATGAGCGCAAACTGTACGTCGCTGTGTAACTGTCTGACATCTTGAAACTGTCAACAAATGCAGCAGGTAATGCTTTCTAGTGGCCAACAAACTCGGAAAGAGAAGTGTTAACTCACACTGGTTTGCCCTAAATTGTTGACTCTATTGAAGTCCGATGACGAAGTTAACCATTATAACAGGTTCCCTAACCTTCAAGTTTATATCTGTCCTAAACGTATAGTTGCTCACAAAATCTTAGAACATTATCATGGAACATCAAGTGTAATTACTACGTATACAGTGTCTCTTTCACCTATCTAGGCAGCACTGTTTCAACTGCAGGCGGTACAGACGAGGATGTCAAAGCCAGCCAGGATCGGAAAGACAGCAAGACAGACGTTCATTAGCCTGAAACCAGTGTGGAGATGGACTGCACTCAGCATGTGGAACAAGATGCGGATTTTCAACACCAATTTAGTCAAGTCAGTGCTTCTATGTGATGGTTGAGAGACTTGGCACGTTACGAAAGGGATTTCCAACAAACTACAGACATTCATCAACAACTGCCTACGCCGGTTACTGAAGCTCAACTCAGATGGCCAGAAATAATAAGCAACAGGGAATTCTGACTGGTGACGAACCTGTCACTCAACATATGTGCAGAAGGAAGTGGAGATGGATTGAATCGGGCATGCACTGAGAAGACCATTCGGAGACATCACGTGGCAGGCCAGGTACTAGAGTGGGAGCCAGTTGGGAAGTTTTGAGTTGAGCGTCCTAGGTGAGGGTGACATGGAGGATATCGTGCGAGGAGGAAATGAGAGGTTGTGGGCTGTCATGGAACCAGGTTGAAAAGTTTGCAGAGAAGAGAGTGGAATGGAAACGTGTACCGAAGCCCTATGTTCCATTAGGAACCTAAGGGACAAACAAATGATAATAATCGTTATTGGGAAATAAATAATTAGGACTAATTAGTGCCATAACATATTTGTTGCACAAAAAATGCAGTTTATTAAAATTATGCTATGATATGTACTGAATTCCCATCCTTCCTGAAATGAATAATTTATGACTGTAGTCTGTGTTTCTCTCTTCGTCTCACCCTATGGACATCGCTAACACCTTGTATACTGTTTGTATTCCGACTGTTTTTGAAGGAACTATAACAGATCGGGAAGTGAACAGACTTGAAAATTATCCTACACTTTATCACAATAGATGGTTGAGAATAAGATGAAGAATGATGAGTGAGTGTAAATGCTGACTTACCTAATATCTTATTTGTCTAAAGGTTTCTAAACCTCTACCTAGGATAACGTAGTTAAAAGACGAAGTTTATCTGAACAACGCCAAAGCCGTACATTATTATTATTATTATTTATCCGTTGGGTTCCTAGTGGAACATAGGGCTTCAGTAGCACGTCTCCATTTCCCTCTGTTCTCTGCTCCACGACTGCCCAGAAGCTTTCATTCCTTCCTCCCATGATCTCCTCCATGTCACCCTGAGATGTCCAACTCGTCGTTCTACTCTTTGGATTCCACTCGACGGCTTGGCGTGGCGTGGGGCATGATGTCTCCGAATGATTTTTTCAGTGTATGCCCAATCCATCTGCATTTTGTTTTTCTACATATTTGTTGTATGATAGGTTCTTGGTTGGTTGGTTGCCAGCCAACCAGTCAGCCAGAGTGAGTTCCGTGTTGCTTGTTCTTCCTGGCCATGTGATCTGATCTTCAGTATGGAGTGTGTGTGGGCGTCAGGTGTTGATGAATGTGTGTGTAGTTTGTTGTAAATGCTTTTCGTGACGTGCCAATTTTCTGAAGCATATGGAGGCCACTGAGTTGACTGGATTGGTGTTGAAAATCCGGATCTTGTTTTTCATGTCGATTATCTCACACTGTTTATTTCATATTTTTGAACGCCTGTCTTGCTTAAAGCCGTACATACATGGTCTAATTGAATAGACGAGACGGAGTGCAGCTGACTGCATTATGGTAAACAATGTTTCATAAAATGACTGACTCACTGACAAAATTAACATGAAACCTTCTTGCACATATGCGCTGCATCTGCTCAAATTGCCACACATCACAGTACTACACAAAGAACAGGTGGATAGAAAAAGACTCATATCAAAGTAAACAAAGTTGTATAGAAGAATGAAAAATCTGAAGATGAAGGTTAGTGTAAATATTCAAGCTTTAAAAGACTTCAAAGAGTGAGTTAGTACTTCACCGCTACTACCATGTCACCAAAAAATCCCCCAACCGCTGATGCATTTCGTTTCAGTCACACTAACCAGAGAGGCTACATCTCTCCATGCGACTTAAACCAACGGTAAGAGAGACTTCAACACCACTCTAAATCCTCTTCTAGCCTAATCCCTTAGCATACCACAGTAAATGACTCAGTATGCACAATACATTTCCAAGACATTTCAGTCAACTAAGGTTCACAACTACCAACAATCGACGTGCCTATCTTGCCTAATACTATTCGCCTGACATAGTGATTCCACTGAACGTGACCAATGCTATGAAGACACATATTATCAAAACCCTGTAATGGTTCTATCTCACAGCTGTATAATTCTACGGAGGATAGATTGAAGCTTCAATATTATATCAATTTCCATCTATCCTAATATCTATGTATTTCTCTTAGTGTTGACTAACTGGAAAGGAGATCTTGTTATCCTGTATTAATTCATATGTATTACAGCAATCTGATTCATATTTTTATCCCTTCTTCTTCTTCTTCTTCTTCTTATATTCCAGGATACATTTATGATGATGGAGGATACTGTATTGTGTCTTGCATTTAGTCGAGATTCAGAAATGTTAGCCGCTGGTTCAACTGATGGTCTAGTGAAAATTTGGCGTATCCAATATGGTCAATGTATGCGTAGAATAGAAAAAGCTCATCAGAAAGGTGTTACAGCTATACAATTTTCTCGAGATAGTACAAATATATTAACAGCCAGTTTTGATCATTCCATTCGGTGAGCTGTTGTGTGTCTAATTCTTTTTTCTCCATTATCCATTAGTTTAATTATAGGATGAGGTTTTGAATCTTAATTGACTGCGATAACTTGGTCATGTGTTGTGCGTACCGAGCCCATTACCACCTACGTCGACGTACCTTGCTAGGAGAAGTTGAACTAGGTCGGTAGAAGGTTCAGGATCGTCAGATCAATACATGACACAAGTCGTTGAAGTCTCTGACTGTAGTCTGAGTCGTGTGTGAAGAGATGTAGACTGACTGTTTGGGGTCCTAAAAACGACACGAATTAGTGGTTGAGGAGTGTTGGTGACATGGCTTGAAATCCGCCACAATACCACAGATGCTTGAATATATTCACAGTAACCTTTATCGTCAGAATGTTTATTCTCTCACACTACTTTATCTATTTTGATATGAGTCTCTTTTTTATCCAGCTGTTCTTTGTGTACTACTATGAAGTTCGGCAACTTGATCCGATGCAGCTGTATGCGAGGAGGTTCAGTCAATCAGTCAGTCAGTTACGTTTAGTTATGCTTCACGGTGCTGAAGTCTCCTCCATCTGACAGCTTGCTGTTCTTTATTTTAAACGTTAACTGCTTGTGTCTACGTGTTTATATACAGCATGACAACTCAATTCAGACAGAAGAAATCGAGCTGCAACCTCGTACAGATGTGCATCGGTTTTAGTTACTCCGTCCACAGTTTCATGCGACGAACAGGTGAGTAGAAAAAGAGTGGTGTCAAAGTAAATGAAAGTGTATGGGAGGAGAAAGAGGATATTTTAAGCAGAATTTATGTTCTGTGACCATACGATATATTATTATTACTTGTCCCTTGGGTTCCTAGTGGAACATAAAGCTACAATAGCACAACGCCATTTCACTATCTTCTCTATAGTCTTTTGAACCTGGCTCCATGACTGCTCACAAGCTTTCATTTCTTCCTCACACAATCTCCTCCATGTCACCCTCGGACGCTCAACTCGTCGTGTCCCATGCGGGTTCCACTCGACGGCTTGGCCTAGTGCATGATGCCCCCAGATGGTCTTCTCAGTCTATGCCCGATCCATCTCCACTTTCTTCTTCTGCATATTTGTTGGGTAATGGGTTCTTGGTTGGTTTATTGTCAGCCAGCCAGCCAGCCAGCGTGAGTTCCTTGTAGGTTATTCTTTCTGGCCATTTGATCTGATCTTCAGTATCCAGCAGACGTGGACGGAAGCTCATGATGAATGTGTGTCGTTGGTTGGAAATGTCTTTTGTGACACGCCAAGTCTCTCAACCATCACATAGAAGTACTGACTTAGTGTTGAAAATCCGGATGTTGTTCAGACTTTACGCCGAGTGCAGTGAAGTGCAGCAGATCTCCACAACGATTATTTCAGGTTATTGAAGGCCTGCCTTGCTGTCTTTCCGATCGTGGCTGGCTTTGACATCGTCATGTGTGCCTGTGCCTGTGCCGCCTGTAGTTGAAGTGCTGCTGCCTAAGTAGGTAGGTAGGTAGGTAGGTAGGTAGGTAGGTAGGTAGGTAGGTAGGTAGGTAGGTAGGTAGGTAGGTAGGTAGGTAGGTAGGTAGGTAGGTAGGTAGGTAGGTAGGTAGGTAGGTAGGTAGGTAGGTAGGTAGGTAGGTAGGTAGGTAGGTAGGTAGGTAGGTAGGTAGGTAGGTAGGTAGGTAGGTAGGTAGGTAGGTAGGTAGGTAGGTAGGTAGGTAGGTAGGTAGGTAGGTAGGTAGGTAGGTAGGTAGGTAGGTAGGTAGGTAGGTAGGTAGGTAGGTGGGTGGGTAGGTGAAAGAGACATCTTCCTTTATATTTCTCCTGTTGATGGTGATTGGTGTTTGTTGTTATTATTAGTTGGGTATCTTCATCACCTGTGTCTTCTCTGCATTCACTTGAAGTCCCGTCTTCGCTGATCCACGGTACATATAGCGATACAACGCTCCGATGCGATACGACTAACAATAGAACATTAACTTCTCCACTAGATATTCAGCTGACACCACAAGAAGAAGGCGATTGGATTGAAAGTATGTTTACTTCAACCGAATAATCATAGGTGAGAACTCAGTCGTATATATATATATATATATATATATATATATATATACTTAGATGACCTTGGCCAGAGAAAACAAAATAGCATATTAAAAGTGTAAAATTGACCAATCAGCGTCTACTACCCTAAACCGTGTTAAAAACAAGTAACATCGCACGGCACGAAAATAAGATTTAAATCTTAAAGTGATATTATGTACATATTATAATTTAGTTTTTCTTAAGGATTTGGCATCCCTGACATCTCTCCATTTTTCTAAAAGACTTGGGTTTATTACTTGAGATTCAACTAGAACCGAACTCTCTGATATCTTCGCCGATCTGACCAACGTCAGGGTAGTAGTTCTTTATTTATTGGAGGTTTTTTGGTTTCCTGGGCATCTTAGTGGTGTCGTATATGTAGGATTTTTAATAAGATGCTGTTGGATTGTGTTTTTCCTTGACTGGCTGTGCTGTGTCGCATCCAAATTTTTGTTCCCATTACGACATCATATAACATGCAACTGCGTCTGTTGATAATTACGCCTTCAATCCATTTTTTATATCTTGGTCTGTAGTCTCTGGCGAATACTGGTGTTTCGATCTTGAAATACTTTTGATATGTTGGTAACCCTTTTTGGGCCGTTCTTTGGAAATTGAGTAGGATAACTTTCCCCTCACTAATACTTCTCATGGGCTCTGGTGATCTGGAAGTGAATCAGTTACTGTTGTTTAGTACATGAATAGGAAGTTTTAAATTATGTCCAGTGATGGTACCCATCCCTTTGTGTTTTCAGTATAGCGCTTTTAAACGTATCGATGAAACGCCCCACTTGTCCATTAGACTGCGGGGGTGGGAGATGGGGTATGGTGGTGGTAATGGAACATGTTGTATGGTATGTCTCCAGGTTCCCAATAGTTTTTCATCTATAAAGTCAGTTCGTGGTGAATAGCAACCTGAAATCAAGTCAAAGACATGATATTCTAATGGCCAATAAGCACACACTAGTCTTAATTTAACATGGATCATTTGAAAACCTCAGGTGTTTAGAATGATATGTATCCTCTTTATTGCGATCGATTTTGAGCTATATCACTTATTGTCTGTAGGGTTCACATTGTGTTACATGGGTCAACTTGTAGCTTGCGTACTCTAGTGGCCTAATGAGTAACACTTTCACGTTTGTAGCGATAAGCACTGGAGCTCGACTCCTCTCAGTGGGAATAACAACACTCACCTGGTTGACGAACCCCAAGTAGCATGAAACAGGCGTTCTACATTCCACTAGTAAGCACCAAGCAGGCTTCATGGACTAGCTTTTCAATCTATCCGCCTTTAATCTTCTTGAAAACCAACTAGCTTTTCTTCAGACAACACTATGTGTCGACCTAGATAGGTATTAGTCCGTCATCATGTCTCCCAACTAGTTTAAATCTTTTATCGTGGACTCAAACTTAACCTCTATGCAACTAACATGTGATAGTTTCATGATACATCAAGATATCCTACTATCTATCAATCAAAGGATGAGTGTACTATGCTACAATCCGTTCTGTCCTGTTGTACATTTGTGAAACATGGTCATCAAAAGTAGAAGAGGTAAAGTGGTTTCAAGATTTTGATAATAGGTGTCTTTATAGCATTAGTCGCGTTTAGTGGGATCAACGTGTGAGGAACTGTTGAGATCAGATGAAGGATACTAGACTAGACAAGCAAGTCGATTTGTGTGGTTGTGAACCTTAGTCGACTGAAATGGCATACTGAGCCACCATCTACTTTGACGTGACATGCTAGGGGGAGTTGGATTAGGCAGGAAGAGAATTTATTCAGGGTGGTCAGACTAAGATCTGGCACCTGTCGATGATGTGCCTGACTGTTGGTCTGAGTCGTGTAGGGAGATGTAAAGTACCTAACTATGATCCCCGAATCGAAAGGAATCAGTGGTTGAGGACTCTTAGTGAGATAGTTGACGCAGATATATTCACTCCTTGATATCTATCTAAAGCTTGAATATTCTCACTAACCTTTATCTTCTGGTTGTTTTATTCTCTTTCATTAGTTTGTGTGTAACTTGAAACGATTTCACTTGTGTGTGTGTGTGTGTGTGTGTGTGTGTGTCTGTGTGTAGTTCTACGTTGATTTGGCCAACCAGCCAGCCAGTGCATGATTCATGATCGGTGCTATTCTAACATCTCATACCTTATCATTTGCTCCACTTTTAATGAGGGTAAACAAGAGAAAACTGCTGTATGTCTGTTTTTATGTTTTGTATTTAGTGATATAACCAGGCATGCTTAAAAGCTTGAATATAATTTTTTAATGAAGTGAAAACCTGATACACTTAAGAAGTTGGAATCAAAACCTTTTAATAGAGATTTATCAAAAAACGTAGCTCAACTTTCTTTGTTTTATTATGATGAGATAAATTTTCTGTTGTAAATAGGCAACATTCGTGTTATGTTCCTATTCTTATCGAGGAGTTTCGGGAAGCTTAGTAACCATGAACACGTGTGTACAGATCAATCAGAGTATAGTGTATTGGTTGTTAAACTATATGTCTATTTCAATAAATAGTCATAGGGAATATGATCTCATGGAGACCTGAATGGAATAAGATAAGCTTACATAATAATAATAATTATTATTTATCCGTTGGGTTCCTAGTGGAACATAGGGCTTCAGTAGCACGTCTCGACCTGAAGGCGGCATTTGACTCCGTTGATCGAGAAGTCTTATGGCAGTGTCTGTCACTGAAAGGCGTGCCTAGTAAGTACATCACCTTATTGAAAGCTCTCTACTCGAACACTTGTGGGCATGTTAGAGCCTATGGTGAGTTGTCCAGGGAGCTATACTCATCAAGTGGTGTCCGTCAAGGATGCCCACTATCCCCATTCTTATTTAATTTTATCATAGATATTCTTATGGAGGTTTCCCTCTCGTCACCTAATTACAAAGACGTTGACCGGATCACAGGTGAATTTTCCTTAGATCTAGAATATGCAGATGACATAGTCCTGTTAGGTGAAGACGCTGACAAGATGCAGAGTCTTCTGAACACTTTGAGTGGGAATTTGAGAATGTTTGGGATGCGATTTTCACCACCCAAATGCAAATTTTTGCTCCAGGACTGGTCTTCAGCGGTACCGCGGTTAACAATAGAGAGTGAAGTGGTTGAGTGTGTTGACCACTTCACTTACCTGGGAAGTAGGATCAACTCCGGTGGGTTAGTTGCTGATGAGATATCTGCACGGATACAAAAGGCTCGATTGGCTTTTGCCAATTTGCGCTACCTATAGCGCCGCCGTGATATTCGTTTGTCTATTAAGGGTTGCGTGTACTGCACTGCAGTCCGCTCTCTTCTACTATATGGCTGTGAAACATGGCCATTGAAAGTGGAAGATATAAAAAGGCTTCAGGTGTTTGACCACCGTTGCCTTCATAATATAGGACGTATTCCGTGGTGTCACCACGTGAGTAATGCAGAAGTTAGGTGTAGAGTTTTGGGGAGAAGAGGTAAGTCAGTTGACGAGGTTGTGAACCTTCATCGACTGAGATGGTTGGGACACGTACTACGTATGCCTAGTCACCGATTGCCTCGTCACACAATGTTGGCTGAGGTGGGTTCAGGCTGGAAAAAGGCCCGAGGTGGCCAGACTAAAACATGGCACCAATGTATGAAGTCTCTGACTGTTGGTTTAAGCCATGTAGGACGATGCAGACTAGGTGGTTGGGGTCCACGGGACAAGAGGAACCAGTGGTTGGAGACCCTAGGTGATATGGCTCAGAACCGAAGTCAGTGGCGCAGATGTATACACACATTATCCTCATCTTAACAACGCTATACCGAATCTCACTATTTTGTCACTCCTCTTTCCTTTCTTCTCATACTTTATATTTCTTTTGACTGCATTCACTTATCTTCATCCTTCACCTCACTACCTTTTTACTTGATGTGCTGATATGAGGTGTGGCAACTCGGACCGTTACGCAGTAATGCCTGGTCCTATGTTGATAATGATGATGATGAGTAGCACGTCTCCATTTCCCTCTGTTCTCTGCTCCACGACTGCCCAGAAGCTTTCATTCCTTCCTCCCATGATCTCCTCCATGTCACCCTGAGATGTCCAACTCGTCGTTCTACTCTTTGGATTCCACTCGACGGCTTGGCGTGGGGCATGATGTCTCCGAATGATTTTTTCAGTGTATGCCCAATCCATCTCCATTTTGTTTTTCTACATATTTGTTGTGTGATAGGTTCTTGGTTGGTTGGTTGGTTGGTTGGTTGCCAGCCAACCAGTCAGCCAGAGTGAGTTCCGTGTTGCTTGTTCTTCCTGGCCATGTGATCTGATCTTCAGTATGGAGTGTGTGTGGGCGGCAGGTGTTGATGAATGTGTGTGTAGTTTGTTGTAAATGCTTTTCGTGACGTGCCAATTTTCTGAAGCATATGGAGGCACTGACTTGACTGAATTGGTGTTGAAAATCCGGATCTTGTTTTTCATACCGATTATCTCACACTGATTATTTCAGGTTAATGAAACTTTGTCTTGCTTTTCGGGTCCTAGCTTTCACATCCTCATCTGTGCCTGTGGCGCCTGTAGTTGGAAGGATGCTGTCTAGGTGGGTAGGTGAAAGAGACAACTTCCTTTAGGTTTCTCCCGTTGGTGGTGATTGATGCTTGTTGTTTTTGTTGGTTGGGTATCTTAATCACCTCTGTCTTCTCTACGTTCACCTCAAGGAAGTCCCATTTTTGGTGCCTCACCTCTTCTGCCAACATGTTGGTTTTCGCCTCAAAATTTTCGAGTTTACGCGTTAGACATAAATCCATGGTGAAATCCAAATCGTGTAAAGTCTTTTCATCGGTTAAACAGCGAGCGTATGCCCATCTTCTCGCTCCTCAGGGTTTGCTGCATGATCCAGTCAATCGCAATCAGTGCTTCTAGGGAAATTCCATCTGGTTCTGCTGCTTTCTTGGATTTTGATCAACTTTATGGTGTTCACGACTTCTGCTTTTGTCGGACAGCTTGTGTTCATGGATTGTATTTCTGGACGAGTTGAATATCAAATATTATTTCTAATATACTTTGTCAAACTAATCAGGCTTTATTATTATTACTATTTATCCCTTGGGTTCCTAGTGGAACATATGGCTTCAGTAGCACGTCTCCATTCCATCCTGTTCTCTGCAAACCTTTCACCCTGGCTCCACGACAGCCCACAACGTCTCATTTCCTCCTCACACCATCTCCTCCATGTCACCCTCACCTCGTTCGCCCAACTCGACGTGATAGGTTCTTACTTCTTTCGTTCCTAAAGTTCTTTGTAGCCTATTCTTTCTGGCCATCTGAGCTTCAGTAACGAGTGAGCGTAGGTAGTGGTTGATGAATGTGTGCAGTTTGTTGGAAATGCTTTTCGTAACGCGCCAAGTCTGGTTTCAGGTTATTGAAGGCCTGTCTTACTGTCTTTCTGATCCTGTCTTTGACGTACTTGTCTATGCAATGAGTCTCTACTTGTAAAATGATACCAAAAATATCCTAATCGAAAGACAGTGAACTCTAGCACCCTTGTATCCATTTGTGAAGCTGACAATAAGTGACACATTTCTTGTATAAGGGTTAATGATACTTACTACTACTACTACTACTGACTACCTGTGTAAACTATACTACTTAGAGCGGAGTTTGAACTCATAATCCAATGATCGATAGCCATCTGTGTGAAGAGATGAATGAGTGACACCTACTTATATATATCTATATGTATATATATATATATCCTTATTTACTTTCATAATATATATAGGACATATGCAATCAAGTCAGGTAAAATGTTACGTGAATTTGTTGGTCATACAGGAGTTGTAAATTGTCTTGTCTTCTTACCGGATGGTGATCACTTTCTCAGTGGTAGTTCTGATGGATCCATACGAATTTGGTCATATCGTAGTGGTGAATGTATAAATAGTTTCAAGGTAAATCAATTGTCTATTGTTTTTTATACATTAAATAAGAAAAACAACATTTCCTATAATACGTCGCTAATTTGAACTGTTGTATTGTTAATAATAATAATAATAATAATAATAATAATAATAATAATAATTCAAGCAGTATGCTTTATACAGTATGAGATTCCCGGCTGGTTCACTACTCAATTACTCCCACTGAGTGATCAATAGTGAACCAGCGTCTACGTCTACGTGTGACTGGATGATTTCAAGTAGACAGATTTACAGGATATTGCTCAGAGATACACGTTTAGAAAGTGTGAACTTTCACAGGAGCAAGTAAATTTGTAGACACATATTGAGGTGAGCTATAGCGATAAATTATCCTACAGAATCAGTTAGTGACTAAAGAAGGTGATCTACAGCTTCATAGAGAAGAATATCTTCTTCAGTGGTCTAGATACTTGATTCTTTAAGATCTCTGCTGCCGTTATCACCTTTGAAATCAATTTTTATAAACAAAGTCTTCTTTGGAACTGTGAATACTTGCTCTCCCTATTTAGTATTCACTTTGTATGAGATGTTTCATAGTTTTATGCAATACATCGTCGAAAGTATCACTCGTACATAGTCTTCTAATTCTTGAAGATAAAGAATGGGGATCAGATTCTTTTTCATGCTATAGAAATTCAAATATTATCCATTCAATGTAAACTTTCTATAAATTAAACTCTGAAGAGAACCAATCTGGTCACCGTTTCAATAAGACATTGAGAAAATAGAATTTTGAGTTCTCTTTGAATTCTAAAGTTGATTGATAGATGACAGTCATTGACATTTTTAACTACAGTCTCAATAATTTGCATTTTGATCACATATGATGGATGTTATCATCCATATATCAATTGGTGAATGAAGTACAGTATTTTCTAGGTTCACCATAAAGTAAATCAACCAGCAATGGTTCAAGTGGTGACCCCATAGCAACCCAATCCTTTTGTTTATATAGATCATTGTTGGATTTGAACTGCACGTTGATAGTATATCTTAGAAGTATTATTATTATTATTATTTTACCCGTGGGTTCCTGGTGGAACATAAGGCTTCAGTAGCACACCTCCATTCCACTCTCTTCTCTGCAGTCTTAACCTGACTCCACCACTTCCCATAACCTTTCATTGCTTCCTCACATGATCTCCTCTATGTCACCCTCACCTCGAACGCCCAACTTATCGTTTTCCATGCCGGTCCCACTCGAGGATCTGGCCTGGTGCATGATGTTCCCAGTCGACCCTCTTAGTGTATGCCTAATCCATCTTCACTTTCTTCTTCTGCATATTTGTTAGATGGTAGGGTGCATGGTCTGTTCGTTGCCAGACAGCCAGAGTGATTTTCTTGTAGCTTATTCTTTCTGGCTTTATGATCTTCAGTATGGAGTGTGTGTAAGTGGCAGGTGTTGATGAAAGTATGTAGTTTGTTGTAAATGCTTTTCGCGACGTGCCGAGTTTCTGAAGCATATGGAGGCCACTGACTTGACTGGATTGGTGTTGAAAATCCGGATCCTGTTTTTCATGCTAAGTGCAGTAGATCTCTACACTGATTATTTCAGTTTGATGAAGGCCTGTCTTGCTTTTGTGATAAAGACTTTGACGTCTTCATGTGTGCCTGTAACGCCTGTATTTGAAACGCTGCTGCCTAGGTAGGTAGGTAGATGAAAAAGACAACTTCCTTTAGATTTCTCCCGTTGATGGTGATTGGCGCTTGTTGCTGATGTTGTTGGTTGGGTATCTTCGTCACCTCTGTCTCCTCACGTTCACTTGAAGTCCCTTCTTAGCAACCCTACCTCTTCCGCTAACTTGTTGGTTTTTGCCTGTAGATTTTCGAGCTTTTGCGATACTAGGTATAAACCATCATTGGTGAAATCCAAATCTTCTAGAGCATTTTCATCGGCCCCCCTAATCGCTCCTCATAGTTTGTTGTATGATGTAGTCGACCACAATCAGGAAGATCATCGGTGACAGTAGGGAGCCTTGTCTTACTCCTGTCTTCACTTCAAAGGCGAGCTTTAATTAGCTACCAAAAATGTGTATGGTTTTTTTTACTACTAAAGCAAAGAATATGATATGATGCCTACTATAAATGTCGAACGTCTTGAAAGGTATATGGTTACTTTCATATGATTATGAGAGAAAATGTTTGCTCGAAACGTCATTTAGTCAAAACAATATGTATACATTCTGATCAATTTCTTGTTTATTTTGTCACCTTCCCCCTTCTCCCATCACTGAATTTTATTAGACTGTTTCTAGCCTACTTGGCCGTGAAGTGGCTATCCATTCCATCTTTTTATTTCCACAAGATTCAGATCATTTTCTAGTCGGAAGTCGTTCAAATACGATCGCTGTAATGAATCTTCAAGGTCAAGTAAGTTGTTCAACTATTCTGTATGTGTGTGTATGTGTTCGCTCTTTAAATGTGTATGAATTTCTCTTTCCAAGGAATCCTAAATGAAAGTGATCAAGTATGAAATGCTGGACTTGTTGTATTCATAAACAGTCATGACGATAAATTGTAATCATCGAATCGTCACATATCGAGATTAACTCTGACGATGTCAAGGTTACTGAAAGTAGTGCACCAATGAAGAGGTAAGGGAATCAGGCTTGCTAATTCCGGCAGTCACTGTTGTTGAAACAGTCCCATAAAAGTGAGGCGGTATGCGGTCTGGAATGGTAGGTATCGTTCGCTGTAACTGAAGCCCATTTTCTAGGCAGCTTCTGAGGTGTTTTACATTGTTTTCTGTAGACTTTCCGTGAAACATATCCCATGCACGTCTGTCCAATTATAGGTGAGTACGGTCAACAAGTCGATAACCCAGAGAACGTGTTGAAGCCTGACAATTGGGTGGGTGGGATTGCACTGATCAGTTTTAAGCGAGCATGATTTCGTTTTCATATGGTTGTGTTGAAAGCAAACGATATCCGGCTTGGAAATGTGAGCTGAGCCGCATATTTGAATAAAATTCTCAATTCAGATAAAATAATGACTGGTAAATTTCAGTCTTCGAATCACGATGTGCCTGTGGGCTTATCGCTATCATGAGCATCTTAGGTAGGTAGCGCATCAATGTTATACACAGCAAAGCTGTAACTAAAGGAAACCAAAGGAGAACAAGATTTTATGACGCTAGTCGCCACTTTTATGGTTTTCTAGTGACTGATTGATGGAGGTGGATTAAGCGTACACTGAGAAGGCCGACTGGGGACGTCATGCGCCAGGCCAGGCTGTCGAGTGGAATCCAAAGGGGAAACGATGAGTTGGACGTCCCAGCTGACGATGACATGGAGGAGATCATGTGAGGAAGAAATGAAAGCTTGTGGGCAATCGTGGAGCCAGGTTCAACACTGCAGAAAAGTCCTATGGAGGCGTGCTACTGAAGCCCTGTGTTCCACTAGGAACCCAAGGGAAAAACAATAATAATCAATAAGTGACGGGTTGATATGACGTAAAGTATATATATATCTGTGGATGCTTGTACAATGGCCTTCAGATTCCATCACTTGCTGGTCGCTTAGCTACTTGATAAATGGAAGAGGCGGTTACCATAACAAAAACATATCGCAACGTCAACAAATACATACGACATACAAGGCCTTTGTGGATTAGAATATCTTATTGATTTCTTGTACCTTCAATCAATCTGATGTATATACACATTTAGTGTGGTTCCACTCAAAATTTCGGAACAAAACGATTAGTTGTAAAGGGTTTCAGGAATATATATGCTTGCCTAATCTTCATAGATATTTTCACTCTTTGTGCACATTGCAACCATGAAAAACGCCGGGATCCGTAAGATAGCTCTAAACGTATGCTATAAACCAATGTTCAAGAGAAGTTACCGAAGAACAATAAAAGGAATAATAGAACCTGTGGATAAGTCACCATTGTTCAAGAATATGAATCACACTACTTATTATTAGTAAGTAGTACAAAGTTTTATAGTGCCTAAGAGAGCAGAGGTGTACAACTCGAGGTAAAAAAGAAATTAGAAACAAAGTGTTAAATTCTATTGCATAAGGTTTCACTACGAATTGTACTCAGTTAGGAGGGGGGGGGGACCTTAGTAAGTTCATAATTTTATCACTTTCCCATATAGAGTTGGATACCATGATGACTTTAATCGTAAACATTGTGTAAAATTATATTCAAGATGACTACTTAATTGTCTTCAATATCAATAATAACAATGATAGTGAGATTTCTGGTAACACTTCATCAATAACAGTAGTTAAGTCTTTTCCATATTGCTCCTTTTTATCTCATATAGTATTACCTGAATTACTTGAATCTCTTTTTATAACTTCAGTTTTATGCTACTCAGTATTAGTGAGTAGTATAGTGCCAGTACAATTTTCATTTTCCTTTAAAGGTTACACCATCAACTTGCTTGACTGTGTTCATTCTATTCAATCGTATCTTGTTCATCATCAGAATTCCGGTTGCTGATATCATCTTGCTAACCCCTGTTGTTGCTCCATGACCATTTGTTTATCTCATATCCTTCTTTACTACTTCATCGCACCTCTATCCTGGTTTACCTTAGACACAGCCGTGCTGTTTACACTGTTGACACTCTTTAAAGTAGTTCTCTGATGATAACGATAAATCTGCATATACCTATGTTTGGGATTTAGGTGTAATTTGAGTGTTCCACTTATTGTCGAGGGAACAATTTTTATTATTGTTATTAACCCCCTGGGTTCCTAGTGGAACATAGAGCTTCAGTAGCACAACGCCATTTCACTATCTTCTCTCCAGTCTTTTGAAACTGGCCCCACGACTGCCCACAATCTTTCATTGCTTCCTCACACAATCTCCTCCAGGTCACCCTTGGACGCTCAACTCGTCGTGTCCCATGCGGGTTCCACTCGACAACTTCACCTGGCGCTTGATGTCTTCAAACCGTCTTCTCAGTGCCTTCCTGATCCATCTCCACTTTCTTCTTCTGCATATTTGTTGGGTAATGGGTTCTTGGTTGGTTTATTGTCAGCCAGCCAGCCAGCCAGCCAGCGTGAGTTCCTTGTAGGTTATTCTTTCTGGCCATTTGATCTGATCTTCAGTATCCAGCAGACGTGGGCGGAAGCTCATGATGAATGTGTGTCGTTGGTTGGAAATGTCTTTTGTGACACGCTAAGTCTCTCAACCATCACATAGAAGTACTGACTTGACTGACTTAGTGTGAAAATCCGGATGTTGTTCAGGCTTTACGCCGAGTGCAGTGAAGTGCAGCAGATCTCCACAACGATTATTTCAGGTTATTGAAGGCCTGCCTTGCTGTCTTTCCGATCGTGGCTGGCTTTGACATCGTCATGTGTGCCTGTGCCGCCTGTAGTTGAAGTGCTGCTGCCTAAGTAGGTAGGTAGGTAGGTGGGTAGGTGGTAGGTAGGTAGGTGGGTGGGTAGGTAGGTGGGTAGGTGAAAGAGACATCTTCCTTTATATTTCTCCTGTTGATGGTGATTGGTGTTTGTTGTTATTATTAGTTGGGTATCTTCATCACCTCTGTCTTCTCTACGTTACCTGAAGGAGGTCCTGTCTTCGCTAACCTGCCTCGACTCTTCTGTCAACTTGTTAGTTTTCGCCAGTTGATCTTCTAGTTTGTGCGACACTAGACGTAAGCCATCATTAGCGAAATCCAAATCGCGTAGGGTCTTTTCATCGGTGAAACAGTGCATGCCCATCTTCTCGCTCCACGCAGTTTCTTGCATGATCCAGTCCAATCCATTCGACCACATTCTTGAGGATCATCGGTGATAGTAGGTGGTAGCCTTGTTGTACTCCTATCTTCACTTCAAAGGCGTCACTGAGCTTTCCATTGTCAATCACTTGGCATGTGGCGTCTTCATATAGCTGTTGAATGAGGTTGATGAAGGTTTGTGGTACCAAAACAGTAATGTTGAAGTAGCTGCCTGTCAAATTACTTGTCGGTCGATGCTGTCGACAGCCTTCTCAAAATCGATAAAGTTGAGGTAGAGGGTTGACTGCCATTCTACGCTCAGTTCTATGATGATGCGTTGCAATTTGATCCGGACATGAAATATTTTTTCTGAAACCTTCCAATCTGTTCGGGTTGTAATTTTGAATCCATCGCATCTTTTAGTCTGTGCAGTATGATGGGGCTTAATATTTTACTTTGGGTGGACAGTAGCATGATTCCGCGCCATTTTTTGCAAAGACTTAGGTCTCCCTTCTTTATGAGTTTGACAAGCCATCAGTTCTTCCAATCAATCGGCTGGTACCTTTTCTTCCCTCCAAACTTTCTGTAATAGTTGTGTGAGAGTGTGCGCTGTTTTCTCTGAGTTTGTTTTCAGTGCTAGTGAAGAGGTCTGGTCCACATATATTCATTGGATCGGTTTAAAAGTCTTGCACTGGAAGGTCGAAGGGAGAATTTTGGGACGAAACGCAGCATACCCTTCTATCCCATCGATGAAGGGAAACCTCTGTTGAGCAAGTGAACACTTTTCTTTGACCTGTTTGTTTACTCACCTAATCCCATTTTCAGCATCGAAGGAAAAGACCCTAGGGAAACCCTAATTTTACTTAGTTTGTCTCATGGGTACACTGAAGTAGAAGTTCGAATTAAACTAAGGTTAAGAAGTGTTAAGGGAAAGGAGGGGTCACGAGGCGAAACCTGTTTAGAATATGGTAACACTGGTGACCATCGAACTCATCTTGAGCAGATCTAAAGTGTCGACATAAACCACTGCATATATGGCGCTACACGTCGGGTCCCGATAATAGAACCTCCGTTCTAGAATGTATGAGTATGCCTAAGATGTGGGTTGATAAATCTGATGGCTAGCCATTGAAATTCTGAAAACTGACAAGGAGTTTTCGTATGTTTGTTTGAAGGAGAGTTTTGGACGGCATACCGAGAAGTCGATATGCCTAATGTATTATTACACCATCAAACATATAAAGGAAGCAGCAGTGCATTGAAACTTCTTGCCCGTTAATGAATGTTATTAAAACGCGTTGAAGATATTAGGCAGACTGTTTGGTGGGCTCCATGAAATGTCCGTAGCTTTCTTGTCAGACTTAGTCTGTGGTCGCCGCGTACATCCAGAAGATTTAGCTAGTGTACTGGGAGTTGGTATTGTCTTGAACTTTACAAACAACCTTGAACGTATCGTGAGACGACTGCCTGGACATCTACAGCTTAAGTGGTAGGATTAGGACTGTAATATCTTGCAGCACTAAGGGCTCAAACTTCATGAGTTATTTAAGTTCGTTCCATAGCAGATCGCAACAGCCGCTAGCTGCAACAGGGAGTTGATTTCACTGTTAACCACTACCCATCATTACTTTTAATTCCAAAGGTATATAGTTTTGTGAATTTTCTTCCAAGTAATTGGGAATCAAAGCGATTCTCCAATCGTAAGCTAAACACTCGGATTACGCGCAAAGTCCAATACACAGGATTTGTCTGAAATATGGTTCTGTAATAATAAACGCAGTCAGGCAAGTTAAGGATGAAGTGATATTTAAGAAAACGTGAACTGTACTACTCACTAATACTGCGTAGTATAAAAGTAAAGATATAAAAAAGGTATTCATCAGATGGGGTAAAAGTAATTAGCACGACCCCTTCGAAACCAGCAAGGCTTCTCCTGACTACCTCCTAGTATATACGGGAATGTTATGACTTGTTCTCGTCACAATGTATCAACTACTAAAGTCGTGACCTAATTCTCATGAACCTCTTCTAACAAACAGATTCTACGAATACCTCGGCTAATAGTACGCGTCGATGTTTCGCCATCTCCTTTTTGTAATCTTTCATTTGAACCCGCAATGACACTCATAATGATTATGTGGTGCCTTTTCCACAATAAGGACCAGTTCTCCTACTTTTAAGTTTCTCCGCTCTCTTATCCACTTAGCAGTGCATGTTTTTGTTGAGTCAAATACTATCACCTCTAAAATGTATCAGCAAGGAGTTGACATGGACACCTCCCCTTATCACAGGGAAGGCTGCGTCAACGTGGTACTGGTGGTGGTCATCTAAGGGAAACACCCTTACTACTACTGTCACATTCCATCCACCTAGCAGTACGACTTCCCTCTCGGAACCCCATCATAGGGTAATAATTTACACTAGAATGATAACTGCTTTTCCAACGGACCTTTCTGGTATAATAGGAACTCAAGGAAACAAGTGTTCCAGCTAGTATGGCTCGTTGAGTCATTGCGATATACAAGGTAGCCGCTATCGGTCGGACTTAGTGAGAATGTGACAGAGAAGGGTAAGTATGTGATTCACTCGTAGGGGAGATGACTGATACTCTTCAGGAGATAGCTCAACTTGTGTAGTACCTTTCGCATGACCCTCGTCATTGCGCAGACGGTGATTGCAATAGACGCGACCATTGCTATGAAGACATCTATGATTGAAATCCTGCAATCGGTTCATGTTTCCTACTTTTAACGGACTACAACGCAGTACACTCGCCTTTTGATAGATAGTTGGATATCTCTCCAGTCGACGCCACGAATGATGCAAGTTGACAAATGCCAAACGATCCTTCTGTATTCGAGATGAGATTTTGTCACCAACCAACCCATTCGGGATGATGTAACTCTCCAAGTAAATGAAATGGTCGACATATCCTACCACTTCACCCCGTATTATCAAACTGAGAGTAGCTGTAAACCAGTCCTACAGCAACATCTCACAGGAGCCAGAGAAATGCATGCCAAACACAATCAGATTTCCTTACTCTCTGAGTATTCAGAAGTTGCTACATTTTGTCAGCGTTCTCATCTACCACGACAGTATCCTCTGCACATAATCCAAGTCAACCAGGCAGGCAATAGATCAATCCCTGTCAAGTTAAAATTACCTACTGTTGTGCCTATTAATACGTCTATGAGGAAGTTAAATAGGAATAGTGTGACATGGACATCCCTTAAGGACATCATGACAACTCACCATAAGGTTTTAAGCGCTTGTGTGAGTTCGAGGAGAGAGCTTTGATAAGCAGTATATACTTTTTCAGGATTCCCTTCGCAATCAGACACTGCCACAACATCCCATGGCCGACTGAGTCAAATATCGCCTGTAGGTCGAGAAGTATGGTAGGCGTCAGCCATTGGCCTGTAATTATGCGTTTGTTCCAAGAGCTGTCAGGATGTGAAAATCTGATCGATCCACTCTCTTTTGGGTCTGACTCCTACATGGTTTTCTGCTTTCAAACTTCAGTTAGGCATCGGATTACGGATTCCTCTATGATTCTCTCTCTTACTGAGGGGTATCCTACTTTGGCGAACATGACAAGCAGTGATTCGATATATGCAGCGCATGTTCAAGCCCATTCCTCAGTTGATGAAGATTCACAACCTCGTCAATCGCAGCCCAAACTGCGCAGTGGTAAAGACGCTAACTACAACAGCGAGCTACGTGGGTTCGAATCTCAAGCGGCACGTCAGTCCCGCCGAAGTTGCAGATACGCCTTGCTGACGAGTGCCAGTAAAGCACGAAGCCTAGGTCCAGGGCTTCCTGCCGATCGCCTCTCAACAACTAACATCTACTAATGTGCACCGCGATGTTCAGCTTCCTGGCTTGGTTGCACTCCTGTGACCGATCAATACATGGTTTACTACTCTTTTTAGCCTCACCGTTGTCAACATGGTTATGCCATGGCAAGTTGGAACTGCAGAAAAGACATGTGTATTGGAAAACCTGCGATCTTTTATATGTCATTCTTAGCGAACTGTTGTACAGCACACTCAAATGTTTCACGGATGACAAATATCAAACGAGCGTGTTTTGTATCGTATTCTACTACTTCGATGTTTATCTTATCCTTAAAAACACTAGGCGTTGGTGTAGACCAACTGTGAAGTATCATCTTATATTTAATAGGCTCAATCATTATCATAAATATCAACCTAGGACCAGGCATTACTGTGTAACGGTCCGAGTTGCCACAGCACATACCAGTACATCAAGTAAAAAAGCAGTGATAATGGAAGAAAAGAAACTTCAGTCAAAGGAAATATAAAGTACGAAAAGAGAGAAAGGAAGGATGACAAAATAGTGAGATTCCATATAGCGTCGTTAACATGAGGATAATGTATGTATATATCTGCGCCACACATCCGTTCTGAGCCATATGACCAACAGTCTCCAACCACTAGTGGTTCCCCTTGTCCTGCAGACCCTAACCGGGTAGTCTACATCGCCCTACATGGTTCAGACCAACAGTTCAACACTTCAATCATTGATGCTATGTTTCAGTGTGGCCACCTCGGTCTTTTTCCAGCCTGGACCAACTTCGGCCAACATTGTGTGACGAAGCAGAAGGCGAATAGGCATACGTAACACGTGGCCCAGCCAGCCATATCGGTCGATGAAGGTTCACAACCTCGTCAACTGACTTACCTCTTCGCCCTCCCTTAGATTCTACTCCTGACTTCTGCATTACTCACATCGTGACGCCACGGAATACAGTCTGTACTACGAAGGCAACAGTGGCTAAACACTTGAAGCCCCCTTCTCATGTCTTCCACTTTCAATGGCCATGTTTCATAGCCATACAGTAGAACGGATCGAACTGCTGTGCATTACACGCGACCCGTAATAGACAATCGGATATTACAGCGGCGCCATAGGTGTCGTAAGTTACCGAAAACCAGTCGAACATTTTGTATCCGTATAATATAATGAAATGTATTTCGGTTCAATTGTATGACTGCATGAATAGACGAAACTAAGAGATAGATAGACGTGAAGTCATCCAATGGATTGATCTGTTCTCAGAACACTTTTATATTGAATTATTTACATTACACTTTATATTGTAAACAATTTATATTTAACAGTAGTAAGTAAATCCATTGAAATTTATAATTTTCAGATTGTACAAAGTTTTTCTAATGGTAAACGTGAAGGTGGAGAATTTGTCGATGTAACACTAAGTGGACGAGGTGAATGGATTTATTGTATAGGTGAAGATCAATCACTTTATTGTTTCAGTGTTGTATCTGGCGGTAAATTAGAGCATACATTACATGTAAGTTGTTTCATATATACTTTATTAATTGGTGACTAGTAATGGAATTCAGTCTGATGCATATTTCGTTCTATTCAAGAGGATCAATTTATCAGCTGACGAAATATATCCGCATCCCTTGCCCCTCCGGAGTATCGGTTGCTTTAAACACCAGTGTTATCTACTAGACAGGTTACTGGGGCATTATATCCACTTACTACCCATATGTGTGGGTTATAGTGTTCAATCAACTAATATCGGGATTTTGTATCATCCATTTAAGATTTTTTATGCTACTAATACTACCCGATTGGTTAAACTTTTGTTGATGGACCCTGGTTCGAACCCGCCATTCTCTAAGTGTAAGTACAAATTAAGATTTCATGAAAACTTTAGAAAAACTGAATAATGTACTAGTATATAGAGAGAATGCACCATTACTTGCTATAAAATACCTTGCAAATCTCACATCATTGTATCAAATGCACTCAGCAACTACATGCAGTAGGCCACAACTTATTGTGTAAAGGCTTACGGTATACTGCCTGACTGCCCATACTTCCTTACAGTAGACAGAATGAATTTCAAACGTACAACCAATTAGATATCCGAAATGCAAGTTCTGTCTTATCTGGGATTCGTCAGTTGGACGTACCTACCTCTCAGTGATCGGTCTTCTTCCTACAAAGACTTGAACCCGGGAGCGGCCGCTTCAAACTCCAGAGCGTTATCCATCGAGTCATGATAACCACTTCTTGTGCAATAGGTATAGCCTTTTTGTTGTTACTTGTAATATCCCGTTATTGATTAGGTCAGATTGATCGGTTACAGGCTCCCGTGCGTATCCCTCGATATTTCTTGTCGTTTCACTTTCGATATTAATTGTGAATAGCGGCTAGCAGTGAATTCCAAGAAGTGCGCTTCGGCCATTTCGTGACTAGTCAGTTAGGTGTACCTGCCTCCCAGTAGGTGATGTTGTCCTTGTTAAATAAAGCTCTGGCGTTTAAGGCGATCGGTCGCGGGCTTGAGACCTCGTGGGACGAACACCCACAGAGGCGGTGCCGGTACATTCGGCTGACGAGTCTCAAACGGGACGAAACGCGCATCTTGGATCCCACGGTTAGCCATTATCCAACACCAATATGTAGTTGTAACACAGGCAACATCGGGACATCTGCAAAAGAACTGCATATGTCAATACAGATCGGTCAGCTTCGTCCATATCAGCGTGAAAGACAATAAGTGGACAAGCAGAAGCATAAATTAATACGCATATCGTGACGATCTTAGTGAAGATATGATGTACAACTGCAACGATGTTTGAGAGCAATATCACCACAGTCTTCAACTAAATGCTTCGGCTGTTTCACGGGCCCCATTTGCGAAACCCACCACCAAGTGAACAATAGAACATGTTGATCACTGTTGTCGACGCTGATAGTATTCCTTGAAACCTCCGATTTCAGTTGTCGTGCCGACTCTGACTGGACCAGCTGTCTAAGACTTAGTGGAGTGATGCCAATTTTATTTTATTTGGTCAGCCCTAACGCCTTTTTCAGCCTGAACCTACTTCGAATAACAGTATCCGATTGAACAAACAGACGCTGACGAGTCACAATTAGGACGGAACGCACGCCGTGGATTCCTCTGCTAATCATCAAAATCAATATGACTTCCATTTTCTTGACATATCGGCATCACAACACACGATGATTCTTATTAATGTGCGAAACCATGCTGATTAATCGACCATGCCATCAAAGTACTATTTTGATATTCAACACCAACATTACAACTTAACAAGTGTTTTTCTTTAAAAGTAGTATTCAGTTGGGTAACTATTGTAAATCTGGGAGCACTGGACAGCTATTTCGACCTAGTACTGGACTCCTCAACAGTATGCACCCACGACCCGGCTAGAGATCGAACCTAGGGCGAATGGGTTAACCATACGACTACTGGGTCAGTTTTCAGTGGTTCACAATTTCCAACTTCTCTCAATTCACGATATAGCTCAACTATCACTCACGGTCTTCAGTTAGCATCCATTTCACTTCCGACTGGTCGACCCCACAGGTCAAGACTTGTCATTAGAGCTTCATGATATCCATCTAAAAGCAAGTCACTAATGAGAACTATCCAGTGATGTATCTTTAAGATGAACGAGGATTTTTAATTTAGAGGCTGGAAATTGTGAACCACTAGAAACCGACCCAGCGGCTGAATGGTTAACGCGTTCGCCGTGAAACCTAAAGGTCCTTAGTTTGATCCGCCGGGTCGTGGGTTCGTACTGCTGAGGACAAAACAGCTGTCCAGTGCTCCCAGATTTTCGATAGTTCCCCAACTGATATCAGTTCATGATGAATACCACCTATTCATTTCAAAAATGTTTTTCTGTTAAGTGACTTTTATCATGATGTGAGGATTTTATTTCTAAGGCTTAGTAGTATTCATCATAGACTGATACCATTGAACTTCAACTCAATAACTGAATAGTTAACGTGTCCGCTTTAGGACCTGAATTCAACCCTTGTCCAGCGTGCTTCAAGATTGTTTCAATGCTTCTCCCCTGTTGAAATACTATCTTAAACATATGTATGATATAACAATAACCTTTTTTTAATTTTCAGGTGCATGATAAAAGCGTTATCGGTTGTACGCATCATCCACATCAAAATCTATTAGCCACATATGCTGAGGATGGTCTATTAAAACTTTGGAAACCTTAACTTATTATTTGAGTTCTGGTATACACAAAATGCTCATTTCTTTCTTCTCTAACTTGTTTTCTGAATGTCTTGATTTCTAATGGATAGTGTATAGTCGATCTCAGGCGTGTACGTACATACACCTTTGTAAGCGATAGTCTGCTGTTACGTTACTAGAGATAAGCTAAGTTGATTCATTACGAGTGCATATTGACCCATTTCCTCTTATGTGGTTGTAGTGTAAATTGCTACACTATGATGAGGGATCTGGGGGCGAAGTCGTACTGCTGCTAGCTGGATGGTGTGTGACAGCAGTAAGGTGTTTCCCTTGGATGACCAGCAGTGCCATGCTGATGTTGCCTTCTCAGTGGGATGGGGAGGTTAGAAAAGGTCGACCGCAAAAATACCACACTCCACCATGCCCCACGGTCTGCCGGGCCGGCGGTGTTGGTTCATTTGTCGTTTCCTTTCGACCATCTGGCCCCAAAAATACAAAGCTTTAAAATAATCACACTCAAAAGGCAGCGTGTGACAGGGTGTGCGGTCACACGAATCTCTTTCAGGTACCTCAAGGAGAAATAGCCTTCCACGGTGTGGGCAGCCGGGAAATGTCAACCGCCCTCACAACTCTATCAGCACTTAGCTGACTCTTACATGACCATGCATGACACTACCTGCATGTTATTCGTCTTCATTGCGTGACACCACGGATTTCTGTTGAATAAGTCTCAAGAATATCATCGATAGAATGATCAACTACTACTGGTCGATGTGAAAGTCTTACAGAGTTAATCAAATCAATAAGACAGACAGAACTGTAGACGATATTAATTAGCATATAAATAAATATTGTTGAAAAGAAGCAGTTTGTTCAGAAATTCCAGGTTTTAGAAGAAAATGTTACTTATGTCAATTAGTCTTTTTTGTACAATCATGAATCTCTGGACCACTCATACTTTCTAATTTCAACTTTACAAGTGCCATAATACACTGATGAACTTCATCAATCGACTTATTTGTTGCTTGTATAAAATGCCAGAAGCCAATTGGATTACTTTCATTATCATCATCATTATTATTCTCTAAATCACTATTCTCTAGTTGGACTTCTTTTGAAATACGTATATAATTCTCAAGAACACGTTTTTGAAAATCATCTTCTTCGTAACGTTCAATACCATATCCATTTCTTGAATTTAAATCGTCTAAATTCTCCGGAGTTAAGCATATCACTAAATCAGGTGCTACAAGACCTTTTTCCATTTTACAACACCATTCCCAATTCGGTGTTGAATGTGGTTTAGCAGCGGTATATGCAATACCTGAATATATATATCTATCCGCTACAACAGGGATCCCATCAGATATAGCTTGACGAATATCAGACTGCCTTTCCCATCTAGAAGAAATGAATTTAAACAACAACAAAAAAAAGAAAAAGAGAACAGCAAATACATCATGAAGCCAAACAGCACACGAAATGTGCATCTCAGGGGAACAAGCGCTTTCTATAGCACAATCACTCACCATTTGGCAAGGTAGTCAACAAAAACAACACAATTTGAATATTCTCAAATCTACTGAGGCCGTTGCTAGTCATCAGACGACTGAAACCGAAATTGTGTGCTCAGGAGGAGGTCGGACATAGTTTTCCAGTTTCACGACAAACAGCAATGGGATCTCTAATCACAACAGATTCATTTATGGGTACTTGGGTTTACGAAAATGTAAGTCTACGCCTCAGATTTGGGTGTTGGGATCGGAACATATCGACACTTTGCTCATACACACACACAACATAATTCAGTAGTAGGTGCAATCTAATTCTCACTTACCAGTAGGTAGAAAATCAACAAGGAGAACTACCTATGTCAGATTGTAGGATAAAACGAAGAACTGTCTACAAGCAACCTCAGTCAGTTAAGGCGGGTTCACTCAAATGTCTAGTTGATAGAAGTAGACAACTCACTAGTCGGTGCAAAGACCTAAAACAAGCAACTGAAGAAGCGTTAATAATTATCATCGATAGTTATACTAAGAAATTCCTATATAATAATATATATATATAATATTATATAAATAATAGCGACAAGACGAGTAGGAAGGAATATCAGACACTTCACGTACGATCCTCAACAAAGCTGGATGTAGGGTGGCAGCCAAGCCCTGCAAAATCACTCCGAGATAATCTTTGTCGACTGGTTTAAGAAGCCGATAGATCCAACTAAGCAAAAGAATCTAGCCTATTAAGTAACACCCAGTGACTGTGAGATCAAGTACATAGGTGAAACCAGCCGGTCGGGATCAATTAGAATAGTGGAAGACAGGAATTTAGCTAAATATAGAATGACAGACTTCAATAACATCAACTACATAGTGGAGTGGGTAGTTACGTAAGCTGAGGGGCAGAGAGATACTGGTTACTGCATCTTTGTTCACCAAATCAACACCCAATAATAAACAAAACAATCGAAACACAAGCTTACCTGTTCGCAGTGAAGAGTAGATGTAATGCATGATTATTAATATCACCAGTTCCATTTAGATATGCGCTCAAATGGTTTCCTAGAGGCGTATCACGATCAGGGAATTTAACACTTAGTGTTTCCTTTTGTGTAATATCTGATAAAGCTTTAGCTAAAAGTGATGCTTGTGTTGTTTTGCCCACTCGATCTGCTCCTTCTAGCACAACGAAAATACCACGTGAAAGTTTAGTCATTTGTCTGAAATTGATAACATGAAGAGTATGAAACCTAGTCACCTTGACAACAGCAATTAAAACATTACACAATTTGTTAGTGTGTACTCACAATAATGAAACGAAATCCACATAGCGACCTTGTGCATAAACGTGCGTGAAGCCGTGGCTAGCTCAGTGGATTAGAAAGATAACTACCAACCGTTGGGTTCGTGCTCTGGCTTCACTTACCGACGTTAGGGCAATCACAAGCTATAACTAGCCCTTGGGAAATAGGGGTGTGGCTCGTTGCCTACTGCGTGAGTGTGCACGAAGTGTGTGAGTGCGTTTTGTCTTCTCTGTTTTGGCAAAAATGTGCTGTAGGTACAGAGCCATATCAATTGAGAGAGAGGGCTAATGATACTAAGATCTGGACGCCCAAGCCGAGTTAAGCAGAGCGGGGCACGAACCCGTGACCCACAGCTCCACTGTGCTGACAGTGTCAAAACGTATGTGCAGTTCTGTGTATTATGCTGATTGGCACAAGAATTGGAAAAAAAAATACCTTATTGAGAGTTTTAACAATCAGTTAGTTAATCCAGCTTTTGGTCAGTTTAAAGTGTACGACAGCAGAATGATACAGGACCAGACATTTCTGCGTGACAGCCCAAGTTGCTACATTTCATATCAGCACAACAAGTAACTAGGCAATAAAACGGAAGATAAAGAAATAAAAGTCGATCAAACGAAGTGGAAGCAGAAAGTAGTAAGAGAGAGGAAGGAAGAATGAGACTAGGTATAACGGTTAAGATGAGGATGATGTGAGTGTACATCTGCGCCAGACATCGGTTCTGAGTCATGTCACCTAGAGTCAGTCTCCAACCACTGGTTTCTCTTGTCTCGCGGGTAGTGACTTGCTCCTGCTGCCTAAAAACCACCTACCTTCTAGGTTACTAAAACGGTGGTTCCAAGAAACATGACCTATTTTGCAGCGAGCAATATAGGCAGTCTTAAGAAGCCACCTGGTGAGACTGTAAATCTTCATCGACTGAGGTGGTGGAAATAGGTTAAGTACACCTAGTTGCTACCTATCTATCGCGTAATGTTGGTGCACAGTGTTAAGTTGGGTCAGAAACAGGTTAAAGATCAAACTAAAGCGTTGCGTCAGCCTATGGATTTAGACTGTTGATCTGAAACGCGCATGAAAATGTACATTTCAAGTTGTCAAATACTGTGAAAATGCAGTTTTGGTTGACACAGTGTAATTGAAAAAAAATGCTAATACCACAAACCATTTACGTTTGAAGGAAGTGGAACGGCTTTCTAGTATATGTCTCCTATCATAAAGCTAAAAAATGACTGTTATGGAATGTAACTATTGCATTCAAGAATTCATCACTTAATTTGCATCGATGCGGCATGGATTTATAAGACCAGCAGGTTTTAGGCTTTAAAAGAAGTGCGAGATATCGGTGCTCTGAGCCAAGGTTAACATCAACTGCTATTTTCAGGTGATTTCAAGTGCACTTAACATCAATAGAAAGAGTAAAGCAGACTAGTGTCGTTTTGAAGGTCGGATTTTTGTTCGGTTATACTCCTTCCGCGGCGACAGAAGTATTCACCACATAGTTAAGTTTTAATATAATCCCAGCATGTTTAGGAGGTCAAAAACATTCTTTTGAACGCTTCGCTATGTATACCACAGCCACTTTAGCAGTATTCGTCTGCCTGCCTACAGCTTTGCATGTACTCAGCCAGTAAACACTTTGAGTGCTAAAAGCTAAAAGCAAGAAAGCAGAGGGTATTTCCTCGTCCACTGCAGGAGTAAACCGAACAACTGGAACCAAGCCCTAAGAACTAGACGCGAGAGATCAAAAACTACCAGTTTTCTACGCTCGCACTATCAATATTGGATATTGGAAGGTTCTTTGGTGATTCCTGTAACCCAGTTCGGACGCATTTCGGAATTCGCGAATTCCCGACCCGCGGAGCCCCGGAATTAATATTTCACAAAATTCCACTTTTTAAGATTCCACAAGACTGATACACACTTTTTGTCACGCGATAAGTCATCCTCAAATGTAAGTACTTGTCATGTACCGAAAAGTCTTTTGCCTATTTTAACCTAAAAGCTTCAAAGTACGACCTAAGTGACTGATAGCTGGGTAGTGATTGTCTGTTTGATGGGGTTTTCGCGAGTTGCAGATTTGTTTGTTTTCAGGGTAACGCAGCTTTTTACCAACTAACCTATAGCAATTCCTGTTTTTTTGAGGCAAAGGTAAGCAAGTTCTAAGCGTGATTCGAAAAGTAGCGCGGCAAGCAGGGCGAGTAAAAAATATATAGGCCTTCTGATGTACCTATATAATGAAGTGTGAGTAGATATATGGGAGAAAAGTTCAAATGTTTTTATTAAGAGAAGCTTATTGCACCACTTACATCACTCAACAGTTCGAAGGATATCACACGCGACTGTCCGACTGCTAAGGCGGGACAACTGACCCTGTAATCAATATCCAATATTGATAGTTCGAGCGTAGAAAACTGATAGTTTTTTTTATCTCTCGCCTATAGTTCTTAGAGCTTGATTCGAGTTGTTCGGTTCGCTCCTTCAGTGAACTAGGAAATCCCCTCCACTTTCTTGCTTTAAGCCTCGGTGAGGTAGATGTTTTGTGGGATAGTAAGTTGTAATTTGTAGAGTGATTGGGGAGCTACAGGTTGCTAGGACGGTAAGGGGACTGTCATGACTCCTGTCTCTGTAGGTGCCTGAAAAAGAATAGTAAGGTAGTGGCAAGAAAACGAAAAGAATGAGGGAGAAAAAGGGAAACGAGAGAAGAGAAAAAGGAAAAGAGGGAAGAGGAGAAATAAAAGAGAAAGGTATGTGGGAATTGCCTGAATGGTAGAAATAGATACCGTGGGTTTAGTTCCTACAGAAGAACTGGTAGGTAATGTGGGTGTATCAAGAAGCAAGATAGTGGTGGGTAGGAGGGAGGTGAGGGTGGGATGGTGAGGTTGGTGACTACCTGAGTACATCCGTGGTAGACCATGCGAAGTGACATAACTGTCTAATCGCCTCTTGAATGAGTCGAGTGGGGGAGCTATAACCGTATGTCATGGCAATGCATTCCATAAAGCACATACTGTCAGGGAGAAGAAATGGGACCTGAGTATGATGTTGGCTCTCTGGTGTGCTATCCTAATAGGGTTTCCTCGTGAAGACTGCCGCGTTGATTGGTTTGTGTGACCTGCCTGATGGAAGACTTTGTATGCCATTATAAGGTCATCTGTCTTTCTACGATAACCCAAGGCAAATAGGTTTGGGTGTTTAAGTCTTTCAGGATACGTCTTTCCCTTAGCCCCACAACCGATTTTTATAATTTTTTTCAAGGGTATTAGAATTTCTCTTCAGTGTTGGGAGTCGCCGTATTGAAGACCTCTAGGTGCGGCCGCACGTAGGATTTGAAAATGGTGAGGAAGAGTTCGGGAGTGAGGGCGCCAAGCTGTCTACGCAGAAAGTGTAGAATGGCGTTCGCTCTGGTTGTCATACCTTTGTAGTTGGAGCTGGTGTCCAAGGTGTCGGAGAAGTTGAGCCCCAAATCTTTCTCCTGGTGATAGCACGGTTGCTCAACATGTACTGGAAGTCGGTCGTACTTGCTTCATTTTTACTGATGTGCATTACTTTGCACTTTTCCAGGTTGAAGCTCAGGCCATTTTCCGACGACCAGAGCTCGAGTTGCTGCAAGTCCCTTTGTAGTGCTGTACAATCAGCTTCTTCGTTTACCACCCTCCAAATTTTTATGTCGTCAGCGAAGAGGAGGATGGGTGAGGATATTTTGTCTGGCAGATCGTTGACAAACAGGAGGAACAGAAGCGGTCCTAGGATTGCTCCTTGGGATACTCCTGACGTCGAGGGTCTCCACTCCGACCTTATTCTGTTCACTTTAGTGCAGAACTGCCTCCCTTCCAGGTACTCCTTGAACCAAGAGAGTGGGGGTCCACTTATACCAGCTGACATGATCTTGTGAAGCAGTACTGTGGGTGGGACACTGTCAAATGCTTTGGCTAGGTCGAGAAATACAACATGTACAGGTTTTCTATTATCCCAGCTTTGTGTCCAGTCGTCCCAGGCAGTTAGTAAGTTGGTGGCACATGAGCGACCACAACGAAAGCCGTGCTGAGCAGCATGGACAGTGTTTTCCTATTGAGGAATTCCCAGATGGTGTCAGCTACCAGGCTTTCCAACACTTTCGACACAATAGGGAGTAGGGCAATTGGCCTGTAGCTGCCAGGGCTTTTTCTGTCTCCTCCCTTGAAGATGGGTGACAAGATGGCACTCTTCCATTCTTTAGGGAGTTTGCACGAGTCAGCTGAGTGCTCAAAGGGGTTGCGGAGTGGTTTAGTAAGCACCTCGGTGCAGTTTTTTAAAACCACTGGTTTTAGGTCATCGCAGCCAGGGGACTTGCCTGGACGTAGCCTAGATATTTTCCCGAACACTTTTTTCTCCGTGGTTGAGGTGTGACAGAGGTACTCGTTATTTACCACCTGGTCGGTGTCGTAGCGAGTCGGTGTGGATCTTGTGTCAGTGCTAAGTTGGGCTTGGAAGTGTGAGCTCAAAAGCTCGGCAATCTCTAGACTGCCTAGTATACTCCCATCATGGCCTGTGACAAGATTCACTCCCTTACTGGTCGACTTTCTTCTCGATATGAAGCGGTACAAGTTTTTGGGATTGCTTTGTAACCTCCCCGCCAAGTTTGTTTGGTAGGAAAATCTGTCGCTAAGCACTCTAATGTTACAGCGGTTGCGAATCCTTTTGTAGTTAAAAAGTCAGTCAGATGTACGCCATTCGGACCAAGCCTGCTTCTTGCTCTGGATAAGCCTCTCTGTCCCACCCTTTAACCATGAGGTTCTCACTGATTGTCTGTGTGTTACTTCTGCTACGCTGTGATTGATGGCCCCAGTGATTATTTTCCTCATCTCCAACCAGTGTTCATCTATTGTGAGATGAGCCCAGTCTACTGGCCATGATGCATTCATCAGATAGTCCCTCATGGTCTCATAGTTGGCCTTGCTGTAGCAGGGGAAGGTGTTGGACTTCTCCAGTTGCAGGGCCTCCCTGGTCACTGAGGCCAAGAGGAGGTTGGATACAAACATCCTCAATGAGAAGTTCATCGTTCGTCAGAACGTAGTCAAGGCGCGATGCGTTTCCGTTAGGTCCCCAGCGTGTAGCATCACCCACTTTCTCTGAGAGGCCAGCAGTCTTAACTGCATCCTTCAGCTCCTGATTGAAGGATCTGATGCGTCTCCCTTCCGTCCCGAGGGGGATGGACGGGGTTTTGAAGGTGCCGGCGATGACTACGGAATCGTAATTTGCAGAGGAAGTCGCCAAGATTGCCTTCATGACCATTTCCTTATGTGTAGGGGAGCTGGTGGGGGACCGATATACGGCCCCGAGCAGGCGTTTGGTACAGTGGGGAGTGAAGTCGCACCATAGAGATTCTGGGAGCTGGGTTAGGCGGTATAGCCAACCACCCTTGCCTTTAAACGGGAGCTTACGTAGAGAGCCACTCCCCCTTCTGCTCCGAGCTCTCTGTCCCTGTCTCTTCGTCGAAGATGTCCAGCGAGAGCCAGAATTCGGTGATGAACATGATGTCAGAATGCCGACGTTCACGCAGCGTCCTTATCTCTGCTACTTTCCCTCCTAGCCCCCAACGTTGCTGTACATACATATTGGAGTTTGCCTGGTGAGAGGGGAGGCCAGTCTTCATGGGACTGGCATCGTTCCGGTGTTTTGTGTTTCGTTTTCAGCTTGGGTGGGGGCAATAGCAGAGAGGGCTTGTTTGCTCGATGTATCTAACTCACTGGCCAATGCCTGTGTGACGACCACTGACTCCAGAGGTCTTGGTGGTTGCCGTCCCTCCTCTTGCCTTGCGGGTCTAGGCTTGCTTTCACACACGTATGTTAAGCCACTCATGCGGTCCCTCGGATTATACCATAAGTGTAGAACGTCTATGAGGGAGGCACTTGGGTTGACTTGGATGGCGAACAGCCTGGAGTGGGTGTGGACTTCAGGTGCGCTGGCCTTGGCAGTCTACTGACGCTGTTGACCAGCACACTGTCAGGACCAGATATGGCTGAGAGCTATCGCCGTTGCTGGATGTCGTGGAAGTACCGATCTATGACCGAGCGGTCACTTGGAAGTTCTTGAATCCCACGCAAAACCATAGTGTAGTTTCCGTTTGGATTTCTAATCCCCTCAGTGACTGTGGCCTGCCAAGCCCGGGCCAAATTTCTCAGGTATTAACAACCTCCGGTCGTCGCGAGGGGACGGTGTCTTCAGGCTTTTTGCGAGTGTTCGAGGACACACGCATAGGCGACGGCTTATCTCGGGGTGCCTGGCCTCCACGAGAATAGCAACACAGTGCTACACGGAGATGAGGGAGTCCCAGCATCTGACAGTATTCAGCCCACATTCTGCTGTAAAGCCGTTCTCTCTCGATCAACAATGAGCCTGTCAGTACACCGACGTCGAAAAAAGTGATCGAGTTAGCCCTCCTATGGCCTGGATTCGTTTTGGGTGGCACGCCCGACTTCCAAGTAGGTTTATTGTGTATTTCTGCTGGTTTGTCAGCCATAGTGTGTGGGGCATTTGGGGTGGGTTTCGCAGAGTCTAGCGGTCGGTGTCTTTAGCCATGCGCTTGGTGTTCTCTTAGGCCGGGTAGGTTCGGAGGTAAGGAGACTGCACTAGATGTGGTCCCCGTGTGTGGTGGCGTGCCCGCAACTGGCGCTCTGGTTCCCTTTCAAGGCCCCTCTGTGTTATCTATCGATGTTAACCCTACTTTATCCTAGAATGTTGCTAGATTCTGCGTGGCGGACAGCATAACTTTCGGGCTTTCCTTGCGGAGTGCCGGCAGCTTCCCGCCTCCATAAGTGCCAGAAATCACACTTCGAAAGCGTATCCTGCAAAAGATTAGGGAGTAAAGATTGCTCTCCCTCTCCATTTAATTTTGTGAACATCACCTGGGTGCAGACAGTCGCAAAAAATTGCGACGAGGTGGAGCTGAACAACGGACCTTAAAGCCAACTGAGTGGGATGAAAAGTTGGACCGATAAATAAAGCTGCGTTCATCGAATCAAAATCAAATACACACAATAATAAATTATACATGATGACAATTCTCGGTGTCCCCATTAAAATAACAAGCTTTTGATGATCTTGGTACCCCTCAGCTTTTGGACTGAAAGTGTGTCGAATTCATCGACCTTCCAGGCTAATCGAATTGATTGGGGGTGATGACGACTGTAATTTGGGATCCCAGTGTTGGTATCGAATATAAGTCCCACTACTCCCCAAAGACTTCAACCAATGCATCTACTATGAAACCACAGGGGAGGCACTTCCACTTTTTTAAGACCGTAACCACGACGAAATCCTTCCACTTTGGATGTTGGAAGCAATATATCCGGCTATTTTGGTTCGTTTGGAACTTACCGTGGCTATATTTATCACGGCA